AAAATAATACGTTGCTTTTTACTTATTCTTTCTGAGACGAGGATAATGTTGTGTGTATTTGCGATTAAACAAAACCGAGTAAAACATACTTCTTATAGAAACATCTATCATTGTAAGGACAGAGGCTCCTAAAAGTCGCTTCTCTCTATTAAGTATTTAATTAGTTGCGAAACAATACAGAATTATCACAGCTTAATATTACGAGGAACATAAAATTTTACGATATTGGAACGAGATGCTTCTTTGTTCGAAATTGTCCTCAGCGTCAAAGACGTAAATTTTCTGTCGGAATACGCTTACAAGGACAAGGTTTCGTTCTCTAGATCCTGTTTCTCAGAGTGGCATCTCACAGTCTTTAAATTCTATAGAGAAGGATTCGATACATGCGTTAACATTTTGGGTAACTTGAAACTGCGAACATGAATTTCTCAAGGGGGTTGTCCAGTCCAAATACAACAAAAGACTCCTTTTACTGCGAATTGAAGAGACAAAAATCATTAAACGCATATTTATTTATAATTAAGAAAGTAATGGCTTACAGGAGTATCATGTTGGTGACACGATTCTATCTACAGAAACTCTCACAATGAGTTGTCACCGATATAATGGCCCTCTGAATCATTACTTTCTGAATTTTTACTTCATCAATGAATAATAATGGTATCTTATTCAACAATGTACCATCTTTGTATTATTAATATCTTCTCTAACACGTTTACTGCTAAACTCCTCAAATTGTCCACGAAAACGAAACTTTGTTCCTAGACAATTGGAAACTAGCTACAATTTGTCATAGAACTTATTTGTACAGCTTTGTTAAAATTCAAGAGCCTAATCTTGAGAATTAATTTTTTTAGCTCCTTAATGAAAAATCGTGTCACCTTCATGTGGGTGACGTGGCAGTCAATGTGTTAAACGTTGAATACATATTTATGCATATTTCAAATATTAGATTGACGCATATTGATGCAATATTAAAACTATTTTAGGAAACAAGTCTGCATCTATCAAAATAATTTCCATCTGTTTTATTACATTTCTGTCAACGACTAGCAAGGACATAAATACTATACGTTTTTTAAATTTGAATTTTTACATTTGAATACTCTTTTAATCTCCAGTTCCCATCTCCAGATCTCCCATTATCGTTCGACAGAGTAGATCTCTGTTTGCTTGGAAGGATTAGACACAATATTTTCAATTTATCGTGCATTTGTTAAATTAGTACTTCTTATTTGTTGTTACGCTTTTTTCGATTATCCCATTTTTAGAATCTACAAATCGTATCATATAGAATATATTATTGATGCCGATTAAAGATCAGAACATCACGGCCTTGAAGTAAAATTTGCAAGGATCCAAACTGGATCCAGAATCCATTGATCAAGTAATTTGTTATACAGGGTGTTCGGTCTGGGAAACATTTTAATGAGGGATTCTAAAGGCCAAAATAAGACGAAAATCAAGAATACTAATTTGTTGATGGAGACTTCGTTAAAAAGTTATTAACAATTAAATTCAAAAATTTCAAATCGTTCTGGAAAAATTATTTCCGGTTGCGGGGGTTAATTGCAATCATTTTTTGTCATTATACATATCCCCGAATTCCTACGCACTTTCGAGAAAAAAATTCCTTACCGAAAATCTAATTAGGTGCCAAAATTTTTTAACGAAAAAAAAATTTCAAATCGTTCTGGAAAAATTATTTTCGGTTGCGGGGGTTAATTACAATCATTTTTGGTGAATAGACATACCTCCGAAATCCTGCGCATTTTCGAGAAAAAAATTCAGTACTAGCGGAACTTTAAACGTTAATAACTTTTGAACAAAGCCTTCATCAACAAATTGGTATTCTTGATTTTCGTTTTATTTTGGCCTCTAGAATCCCCCATTAAAATTTTTCCTAGGGGTGGCCGAATATCCGGTATTATATTTTCACGGTTACTGATTTTAGCGTTCTTTTGTTAAGTTATAGTAACTCATTCATAGGGCCATGAACCTTTTGTTTCAACTTCAACTTCTTTCAGTAGCAATTCACCCTTGTTCTCGTAACGACCTTCCCTCGAGTATCGACTGTCGCGGTTTGAGGCAGACTGCAGTGATAGTTATTTTCTTTCTCACAGTATTTTATACAGGGTGTTCGACTACCCCTGGGAAAAATTTTAATGGGAGATTCTAGTGGTCAAAATAGGACGAAAATCAAGAATACCAATTTGTGGACGGAGGCTTCGTTAAAAAGTTATTAACGTTTAAAGTGCCGCTCGTACTGAATTTTTTTCTCGAAAATGCGCGGGATTTCGGGGGTATGTGTAATGACCAAAAATGATTGTAATCGAGCCCTGCAACCAAAAATAATTTTTTCAGAATGATTTGAAACATTTTTTTTCACCAAAAAATTTCAGCACCTACCTGAATTTTTTTCTCGAAAGTGGGTAGTATTTCGACGGTATGTGTATTCACCAAAAATGATTGTAATTGACCCCCGCAACCGAAAATAATTTTTCCAGAATGATTTGATATTGTTTAATTTAATCTTTTAATAACTTACTAACTTACTAACGAAGCCTCAGTCAAGAAATTAGTATTCTTGATTTTCGTCTCCAGAATCTCCCAAAAGAAGATTTAATATTTTTTTATGGTCTTGCAACGAGTTTTGTAACACTAATAGAACTTTGAATTGCGATAAAATGAGAATAATTTCGACGTTCATAATTCATAAGTTCCGTACATCTTTCTGATGTACGTACATATGTTATACCAATGCGATCGGAGTTTGAAATTTGTTTCATAATGCAGTTAATTGTTCGGAACTATTGCGTCACTATTATGTGTCATAAAGCGCAGAAGATCAAATTACATCTCGTATGAAAGTGTAATTATGAGTCTAGATCGCTCGTGTTTAGAACCTAAACTCAAGATACATAATAAGCGTTTCGATCAAAGGCTCTACGATTTAGCAATTCATTTATTGGACGTGCAAAGACATTAACATTGGTCTCGGTTTTAATGTCAACTTTAATGTATGCTAATCTCATTCAATATTTTGACTTCGCGTTCGCCGGTGTACACGATACAAAACATAGTTCAGACAGGATACATGATATTGCAACAAACGTAGGAAACGATAAATTAAAGGAATTCTAATTTCATCAAGAAGAATTATATTAGAAACATGTTTCTAATCTAATTTCCTTTTGAGGACAATCTTTAAAATATTCGACAAAATTAAGCGAAGCAAACGTTTGTAATATGCTAAATTCACAATTGATTAACCTTCTACAGAGACTTCGAGAAACACGTTGAAAAATAAATAAATGAAAAATTGTAACAAAATCACAGCAAGATACACCTGATTGCAGAGGCGCGGCAATCAAAGTCAAATTCACTGCGGATTTGATCAGAAAGGAGTAGATAATTTCTCAACTTTAATATCTCTCACAGTAAAAGTAATAAATTAAAAATTGTACCAAAAATAGAAGAAGAGTTTCACAGCAAGCTACGATTACAAAGTCATGGGAAGCTAAATAAAATTCATGATAGATATTACGAGATATTACAAAGATATGGAAAAATATATTTGAAAATTAACAATCAAAATGTGGCACCAAAAATAAAAAAAAATTCATGAAAATCTTTGCAAGAATGGCGCTGCAGATAATCTCACAACTTGAAACCCCTCTACAATAGATTTTAGCAAACACATTAAAAAATGAATAAACGAGAAATGAAACCAGAAAGGCAAGAGAGAGATCACATCGAGATATATGGTTGCAGGACATGGTAACCGAAGTAAGATTCATGGGAGATTTTATGGGAAAGGGACAGGACATTTCACCATAACTTTAAGACTTCCAGGGGCTCGTTAAAAAATTAATAAGTAAGAAATGGTACCAGAAATCGAAAAAAGAAACCACAGCAAGATATATGTATGGTTGGCGGGACGTAACCGACGTTAAATTCATGACAGACCTTACGAGAAAGGAACAGTTCATTTTAATGCAGTTCAGAATCGAGCATGCTAATTGTTCTCTCATAATAATTAGAAAGGATTACTGTTTTAACTGTTGCCACTCGTCACTCTCAGGGTCAGAAAGTAACAAATAATAACAAAAAAAAGAGCTACGCAAAAGTTGAGCTTTTTATTTGAATTACGATACGTTCGAAATGTTTCGACGAATGGAAATGTTGTTACTAAACGATCGTGTGTAACAGCTGATACGTGATACAATAAACAGCTTCAGAATCACTTTTATTGTCGTAATCTGACCCGATTGGCTCTATACATACATATAAATAGCGTCTACTTTCTTACGCAAGATTCCGTTGCTACTAACTGATTCAAGGCCATACCTTTGCAATTTATTCACGATGCCCCCTAATTTATTTGCTACTTTGAAATAAACGGAACCGGATCTATGGACCGCAATTAAAATTACTACCAACGAATGTTGTCATATGAAAATTGAGTTTTTACTTCTTGAATAACAGAGCAATCGAAATTCCTTCTTCTTGATCAGAGATTCTCAACGGGGGCCACATGACCTCCCTCCAGTTCGCTATGTTGTATTTCTTGAGGGTCACGAGTGAAAGATCTAAAAAAAATGAATCAGTGTCTGAGCGAACTACGAAAAAGATTATAACAATAAACATTCAAGTTTGGGTTATTCAAGCTAGAATATATTCATTGAGAAATAAACATTATTATTTGTAAACATAAACATTTAAAAAGTGTTAAAATAATGAACTCTGAAATGACAGAATATAATTGTTATCATCATGCTGCTATTTGTAGCTTTAACGAATTTGAAGTAATTTAATTCACTTATTTCTATTATACAAAATTACTTGCATATAAATTATTTTTGTTCTTAAAAGAATATTTTATCGATGAAACTTTATTTGTCTTGTGATTTCACACAGTTTTCGTTGGGGAAATTCGTTAAAAATAAACCAATAACAATTTAATTTGTATTTACGTGTAAATTTTGTTTCAGGCAACCATGATTACCAGACTTCGAAGTCCCGATATATGCTTTCTAATATCCTGCATTATCCTATATGTAAGTAATGTAAACTGTTCATTTATTCGAGCGCAGAAACATGGATATTTTTCAACTGCATTTAAAATTACGTAATATTAAATGTATTAATATCGTATCCAAGTTTGTTTTTATTTTTTAACCGACTGAAAATCTCTGTCCAGTTTCATTATTTCGTTATCTTTGTTGTTCAAGTTGGATGCACGTTAAAAGTTTGTTAAGTACATTATAAAATATTCATACACTTTCATAAAGTGTATGACGTAGTTGTATAGTAATGCAAATCCAGGTAGAGAAACTACAACTACTTGTATAATAAGATCCATAATAGGCTGGCATATACAGGGTGTTCGACCACCTCTGGGAAAAATTTTAATGGGAGATTGTAGAGGCCAAAATAAGACGAAAATCAAGAATACCAATTTAACAATTAAATTCAAAAATTTTAAATCGTTCTAAAAAAATTATATTTAGTCACTGGAGTCAATTACAAGCATTTTTGGTGAATAGACATACCCCCGAAATCCTACCCACTTTCTAGAAAAAAATTCGAGAAGGTGTGAAATTTTTCGACGGAAAAAAACAATTTCAAATCTTTCTGGAAAAATTATTTTCGGTTGCGGGGGTCAATTACAATCATTTTTGGTGAATAGTCATACCCCCGAAATCCTGCGCATTTTCGAGAAAAAAATTCAGTACGTGCTGAACTTTAAACGTTAATAACTTTTTAACAAAGCCTCCATCAAAAAATTGCTATTCTTGATTTTTCGTTTTATTTTGGCCTTTAGAATTTCTCATTAAAATTTTTCCCAGGGGTGGCTGAACACCCTGTATATTTACATTTTAAAACCCATAAAATCAGAATTATTATAGACATAATACAAAGATTTTGTTCACCGAGAATTGTCGGTGTATAATTCTTTGTTCTAATTTATAAAATTACAACATTTAAAGTATCCTGGAAGCAGATTGCCTAATGAATCGCCATTTTCAATGCTCACTCCTAGAAACATCTTATTATTAATTGCACTTTATAAAAGGTATTGCAATCGAGCGGTATTGTTACGCAATATTAGATATATCACAGTCTTTAATTGGTCCATGTTAGTTTTAAGAAATATTAACGTTGCCGTAACTTTTGTACGGGCACATTCTTATTTTTTGCCACTGGCAAAGAAAGGGCTCGCTTAAAATTATTCAACGGACCTGTCAGTTACGTGATTTACTTTTACGCCATCGCGTTTCGTAACATACTTGACCGCCTGTTTATTTTGTTTTTGAGAAAAGTGCATATTATTTGCCTGTGATTCTGGAGGACGCCAAGCGACATTGCGCGAACAATTTAAACGAAATTCCTTGCAAACCAGTTATCGGTGAATTTATGAAACCATTTTTCACAAACACGGACAATAGCACCTCGAATTTACGATACAGTGTTAAATTCAGCGTACAAGATTCTTTTGCTTCGATTCGTTCGAGATTTTCTTACATGCCCGAATACGGATTACAAGCAATCCTTTAAAAAATATGATAGTTATTTTATTTTTATATTTCGCCGTGAATTTGTATGGGAAATGTTTGTAAAGTACCCACGATGTTTAGAAGAATAAAAAGTGATGATTCTAAAGGTTCATAATCCCATTCCTGTAAACTCTCATGGACGTCTGATGGATCCGCCTTCTCGAAATAGTATGTGGCGGTTTGGATATCCGAATCCTGTTAATTACAACGATAACGAGCTCTTTTGCGGAGGATACGCAGGTGAGTTACTCGACAACGATTAATTTTCATTAACAAACGAACTGACCTTGTTGCTTACGAAAGTATTCGAACGCTTGTATTGAAAATTGCTAATACATAAAATCCACGTTTCAATCATCAGACCACAGTTCTGAGAAAGCTACTGATTGAAAATTTAACAAAATAAATATTAATCTTAATACTATACTCACTATTATTGACGAACTATTATAGAAACGTTATTACTTTTTTATTTTAAATTATGAACGACCATCGATAATTTAAATATTCTTATTTTAGATCACGTTATATAGGGTGTTCGGGTACATCGGGGAAAAATTTTAGTGAGAGATTCTAGAAGAAAATCAAGGATATCAATTTCTTGACTAAGGTTTCGTTAAAAAGTTATTAAAAAATTTCAAATCATTCTGAAAAAATTATTTTTAGTTGCAGGGGTCAAGTACAAGCATTTTTGGTCAACAGACATACCCCTGAATTTCTACTCAGTTTCGAGAAAAAAATTTAAGTAGGGGTTGAAAATTTTGGGTGAAAAAAAAAGAATTTCGAATCGTCTTGGAAAAATTATTTTTAGTTGCAGGGGTCAATTACAAGCATTTTTGGTCAACAGACATACCCCCGAATTCCTACTCAGTTTCGAGAAAAAAATTCCTTACCGAAAATATAATTTCTGTAGGAATGTTCATGCGAATCTTTAAAACATCATAACTTCTGAACGGATTGGACGATTTTAATGTTTCAAAAACCAAACAACGCGTATTTTAGTGGAGAATATGTAGAGATTATGAAAATGTTGGAAAAGTTGCTCCGTGGCCCGTAATGTGAGAAAAACCCCATATAACTGGTCCAGTTTTCAAACAGCCATAACTCCTACAATAGTGAATATATTTCAATGAAACTTTTTTCGGAAGTAGAGCTCATGGGTACCTGCAAAAAAGTATTAAACAACTCTTTTGTCGGGCGACAAACAAAATTATTAAAAATCAAAAATGAATTTTTAAGAAAAATCGACTGTGCCTAAATTTTTCGAAAAAAAAAAAAATTTTAAATCGCTCCGAAAAAATTATTTTCGGTTGCGGGGGTCAATTACGATTATTTTTGGTGAATAGACATACTCCCGAAATCGTGCGCATTTTCGAGAAAAAAATTCATTACAGACGGAACTTCAAACGTCAATAACTTTTTAACGAAGCCTCAATCAACAAAATCGTATTCTTGATTTTCGTCTTATTTTGGCCTCTAGAATCTCCCATTAAGATTTTTCCCTGAGGTGACCGAACACCCTGTATACATTAATGTCCTTTAAAAATCTAAGTTTCATTACGTTTTCAGTTGAGTTCATTACCTCGATCATATCAATTTTAATTTTGTGTTTTCCTCTACTATGATGAAGATCATTGGATTCAAATATAGTATGTTTCCTACTGAGATTTACATTACAATTTGGACATTTTTTAACATTTTTCTTTGTTATTGCGAATGAGTTTAATTTTAACATGATCGTTTCTTCTTAAGTTAGTTAGATCTATTTTATACTCGTTTAGTGCAATGGGTACAGAACAATGGCCAATGCGGAATTTGCGGCGATGCTTATCACCTGAACGAGCCAAGACCGCACGAAGCAGGTGGCGACTACGCGAGAGGAACTATTGTTAGACGCTACACGAGCGGTCAGGTGACTTAATTTTATCTTCGTTTCTATAAACATTTGTACTGTTGGACCAATACGACGAAAACGGACCTTTAATGGGCGTAGAAAAAATTCAGTCGATGTAACAAAATGCAAATACAGCGATCCCCAGCTTGCTTTGGTGCCTCTCGTTTCCACGCATCCGGGAAGGTGTCGATTATTTTGAGGCATTGACTTTTTTTTTATCCCGATCTGAGGCCATGGATCGTACGTATCCTTCGACGACAAGCGTAAAAACAGGGTACGTCGAAAGTGGGCGAGATAGAGCAGCGTAGTGGGCCTCAGTCTCTTGTCGTCAGATTGGCTTCTAGAATATAAAAATCGAATTTTATTTCATTTTCTCGACATCAGAAAATTCGTTTGGTTTATTAACATTCTTCTAGCATCTTCTCCTAGATTATAGCTTCGTTATATTTCATTTGTTCTTTACACTGTTCACACATACAGGATATTGATGTCGAGGTTGAACTTACGGCAAATCATTTGGGAAGATTCGAAATGTACCTCTGTCCAACCAATAATCCAAGAAACGAAGCGACCCAAGAGTGCTTTGACAGGTAACAGGAACAACGTCTACAGTATCGTGTGTGTTATTAATGAGTACAGCGTTCAATCTATTGATATAAATTTTTATGCTTGAGGTATCCTTTGTACATTACCGGAACTCGAGACGTTCGCTTCGAAATACCACTAGATACCGAAAAAAAAGCTATATTTCGGTACAGTGTTACTTTGCCATCCTACGTCACCTGTTCTCAATGTGTGATACAATGGAATTATTACACCGGTTGGTATTATCATGTTTATTTATTCAAATTTAACTGTTATATGCACTAACGAGGGATGTTTAAAAGCTTTGTGGCTTCCTATAGAAATAGCATTCGAATCATTGCAACTCAAATGGAAAACTGTTATACGAAAATAAATTAATTCATAAAATGATCCACTGGTTCGTCTCTGTAAGGCAACAAAGTGTTGTTTTATCGCATAAATTAATTGTTGAAACAGCCAAAATCCATGAAATTGGATTTTATATTTGTTAATTATAGCTCGAAAATTTACAAAAAAAACTTGCAACTTTGCAGAAATGTAATTCAAGCTAAAAACATAACTATTTTTTGTTTCAGCAACGAAACGATCCTAGGGGTGAAAACACCTTTTAGAAAAATTGTGAGTTTTCATATTATTGTAAATGTGTATTCGTATAATATTTCATATTATCGACAAATGGGGATTTCGATATCCTTCCAATAAAAGGTTAATTTATTTGGGGGTATGTTTTCACCTTAAAACCGTTTCGTTGCCAAAATAAAAAAATGGTTAGAATATTCACGTTACTCGAATTTCGTTTCTTCCAAGTTAATAAGTTTAATAATGGGAACGTAACGATGCAGTATATTTGGGGTAATTGCATTTACCTCAAGAGAGATTGTAATGAGAAAATAAGGCGAAAAAATGAAGGAGGTAATTGCTTTTTAAGCGACCGAGATCACGAATGTAATATGAATGACTTGTAGAGAGAAGACTTAAATTAGAATATTTGAATAATACAGTAAAGTCTCGTTAGTCGTCGCAGAGTTATCGACACAACTTCTTGGAACCACTTGCACGGAGCGAGCCTTCGCCTTATTTACGATCCGCGATCGATGATGACTCAATTACCAATGAGAAAACGACGCTAAACATATAAAATTTTTATATTCGTTATTTTACTACTGCCCCAACTGCTTTAATCAGAATGATGAAATTCATACAATTATAATGATACCAAACACGCTCATATTTGATTAATTTCTATTTTACACGAGCAATCTGAAATTGTATGTATACAGACATACAGGGTGTTCGGCCATCCCTGGGAAAAATTTTTATGGGAGATTCTAGAGGCCAAAATAAGACGAAAATCAAGAATACTAATTTGTTGATGGAGGCTTCGTTAAAAAGTTATTAAAAAATTAAATTAAAAAATTTCAAATTATTCTGAAAAAATTATTTTCGGTTGCAGAGGTCCATTACAATTATTTTCGGTCATTACACATACCCACGAAATCCTTCGCACTTCCGAGAAAAAAATGCCCGATCGTAAATTTAATGAGGCCAGAAATGCACCCCCGAAATTTCATGCGAATCTTTAAAATGTCATAACTTCTGAACGGATTGAGGGATTTTAATGTTTCAAACGCCAAACAACGCGTATTTTGGCGAAGAATATGTAGAAATTCTAAAAATATTCGAAAAGTTGTTCCTTGACCCCACAAAATGAGACAACCCCCATAAAAATGGCCCAATTTTCAAATGGCCATAACTGCTACAATAGTGAACGTATCTCATTGAAACTTTTTTTTATAGTAGAGCTCATGGGTATCTACAAAAAAGTGTTAGACAACTTTTCCGTAGGACGTCAAATAAAACTACCAACAATGAAAAACGAATTTGTAAGAAAAATCGACAAAATTTTTCGGCGAAATTAAAAAATTTCAAATTGTTCTAAAAAAATTATTGTCGGTTGCGGGGGTCAATTACAATCATTTTTGATGAATACACATACCCCAGAAATCCTACGCATTTTCGGGGAAAAAATTTTAGCAGGTACTGCAATTTTGAAACGAAAATAAAAAATTCGAGAATGTGTACAACTTTCAACAAAATTAAAAAATTTCAAATTGTTCTAAAAAAATTATTTTCGGTTGCGTGGATTAATTACAATCATTTTTGGTTTATATGCATACCCTCGAAATCCTACACATTTTCGAGAAAAAAATTCAGTACAGGCGGAACTTTAAACGTTAATAACTTTTTAACAAAGCCTCCATCAAAAAATTAGTATTCTTGATTTTCGTTTTATTTTGGACTCTAGAATCTCCCGTTAATATTTTTCCCAGGCATGGCCGAACACCCTGTATAAATGTTATAACTAGACTGCAGATTTTAAGGATTCATAACTTATGTTAAAGATTTGTTTTCATGAATTACTAATTGCTCAGAAAAAATGGGCATTGAAACGAATTGTTCTACAGTATGTCATCATACGACTGCTAGATTGGATCCATTCAATTTGCATCAGTTCTCAGGGAATCAATCATAGTATCTTCTTGTCAGAGATTAACGAGTCGAAGGTAGATAACACCACTTAATTCCTGTCACCTCTGTCGCTCATATCGGGTTTCATAAGGCTTTTGAAGCAATAAGTGGTTTGAGCGTGAAAGAGAGAGTGATGCAGATGGGACCAGGCGATAAAATTATTACCTGAATCTGTCATCTGATACTTTTGATACTGTTTAAAAGAAATAAGGTTACTAACAGGATGACAAGAATGTCTATTTGGTGACAAGAAATCTTCTTTAAGTTTTTAAGCTACACTTCACAGGCTTGTCAAGCTTACAGCTTGTAAAGCATTGATGTCAAAATTATTAGTTTATTACCTGGCATTATATCACGTGGCCCAAATAAAGTGTTACAAGTTCTTCATCTCTGAAATTAATGATACAGTAATGATTCTTAAAATGAGTCCTAAATGTGATTCGTAGATTGAATATTTCTATCCCTCCCAATTGTGGGGGAATCCATAAAATCCGTAAAACCAGTAAAGCGTGAAAAATGACACTTAAAAAACGATATGAACCGAGATACCGGCGTCGATTTGTGTAAAGGACAATTGTTTTTTTCTCATTTGCTCTCCCTTATTGTCCTTTTTTTCGGTTGTCGACTGCGGCTGTCGGCAAAAGATAAAGGCGACTCCGAGGCTCAAGGATATTGCTGTGTACAAACATCTGCTGGTGTCGAATTTCGCTTCCACCGGTACTTACATGAAATGAACATGTTAACCCTGGGGCGATTACCAGCGAAACGATACAAATATATGTATATTTATAAGTAACGGAAATATTTAAGTCTTTTCATTTACATAATCCATTTTGTATACATATTGTGTACTTTCGTACCTGCATTAAACGCATCAAATTCCTTTTTAATGCATTTAACACTATTTGCTCTGCGATTCAGCAATGCTATCATAAATAATATTATTGAAATTCACGATGTAATTTTATTATAAATGTTATCAGGCAACATGTGGGGTATTTGTGAAAATGGAACCGAGGCTAGCGGCTGTGGTAGACCAGAAACGTTCCGAAATTGCGCCGACGTTAGCATCGTTACGAGCACAGCAGGCGTGCCACCACTCTTCGTGCAGCAGGATAATCCCTTTTTGCTTTATTACAAAGATTATAGTTCTCCGAACAATATATTCCCATTGGTCGTTAGGTGAGTATTCTACGAATCGTCGCAAGTGAAACAAAATTACTACTAGAAACAATAAATAGAAACAGTAACAGATAGACTGCTTAATCAAGTCCTAAATAAGGTTAAGTTTTATATAAATTTCTTACATCGAACATTCGGAAAAATCTGTTTCGTACAACCGTAATAGTAAATAATAAAATACTAGTTAGAATTAATAATGTCCTGTATGTGTCGTATAAAGAATGTCTTTCGAAGTGGCCTAATATTATGAGTAGTCCTGTGTTACGTAAGATGTTCGTAAAAGATGCGCTTTCTGTTCCGCAAACATAACGAATTCATACAGTGTTCGAGAAAGTAGACAAAACCAAATGAGTAAACATTGAATGTCTACAATCCAATATACTGCATTGTCTTGCTTATTTGAACGCGGGCTATCCAGGACAAAACAAATGCTAAAAATAACTGTCATTTAATAAATGTTTTTAAAACTATTTCTAGAATATATATATTTTAGAATTTTAATAATTCGAATAAATATTAATATACTACGATATAATGAATTTCGACGTTATGAAAATCGTTGATCACTCAAATCTGATTTGACAGAAATAATTGTTAGAGAACTGTTCTCAATATAATGAAAATAAGTGACAAAATAGTTTATGGTTTCTTGGTAGAGAGTATCGTTTATAATTAATGCTTTAGTTTCGACTGTAATCTGACACTGTTAGAAAGATTCGAAGCAGGATGGTCAGGCCGAGGCGTTCGTGTTGGATCGGATGGAGGTCGGTTTTTTTTGTCAACCACATCAAAGAAATATCGCACGTGTAGTGTGAGAATATTTATGATGGAAAACGGATAACGCGATACCACATTTTCTTACGTTACATGGGTGCATTGCTTCTTTAACACATTCACTGCCAGATCAAAACCATATAATATTCTGCACAAGTAAAATTTTAATTTTAGATTTGTAAGCTACATAACCCAAAATTTATTTTCGTAACCCTGTTAAAATTCACAAACTCTATTCAAATTTATTTCCCTCGACGTCTTAACTTGAAAATTAATTTTTCTAATATCAAAATGGTAAATCTTAACCCAGACCTAACCCTATATGTAAGCTACATAACCTAAAGTTTGTTTCAGTACTTATTTTCGTAACCCTGTTAAAATTCACAAACTCTATTCAAATTTATTTCCCTCGACGTCTTAACTTGAGAATTAATTTTTCTAGTATCGTAGTGGTAAATCCTGTCACCCATATACAGGGTGTTCGGCCACTTCTGAGAACAATTTTAATGGAAGATTCTAGAGGCCAAAATAAGACGAAAATCAAGAATACCAATTTGTTGATGGAGGCTTCGTTAAAAAGTTATTAACGTTTAAAGTTCCGCCCGTACTGAATTTTTGTCTCGAAACTGTGCAGGATTTCGGGAGTATGTCTATTCACCAAAAATGATTGTAATTGACCCTTGCAACCGAAAATAATTTTTCCAAAACGATTTGAAATTTTTTTTTTGCCGAAAAATTTGTCCACCTTTCTGAATTTTTTTTCTTGAAAATGCGCAGGATTTCGGGGATATGTCTATTCACGAAAAATGATTGTAACTGACCCCCGCAACCGAAAATAATTTTTTTAGAACGATTAGAAATTTTTTAATTTAATTTTTTAATAACTTTTTAACGAAGCGTATTCTTGATTTTCGTCTTGTTTTGGCCCCTAGTATCTCCCATTAAAATTTTTCCCAGGGATGGCCGAACACCCTGTATGGGTGACGTGGCAAAGTATTAATGTGGTTGGCGAAAACCGACTTCGGTCCGTTCTAGCACGAACGCCACAGAGAACTACCCTGCTGTGGCTTTTACTGCTTCGAGTCCATTAAACGGTGTTGCATTACAGCTGAAACCTTGGCTCGACGAACTGTACAGTGGTGATCAATCGATTTTCAGCTGTACCGTGTGGCTGAGAACCCATTTCTTATGGAGGAAGTCAATGCTTAAAATGCACGTTTCAAAAACAGTAACATTAACTAGTTCGTTTAGACATTAGTTGTACAGTTTGATCGCTAGTTGGAGATCCATCTTTAGGACTACGTCAGTTAAAGCCTTTCTTTATATTATACCACATTTTTGGGTGTTTATTTCTATGTGAAAATTTTTCAATAAAAATAGATACATGTATCAATAATATATATGCATTTAAAGTTAAAATTTTTGTTGTTGTCATGATATATCAGAATTCAGAAACGTTATGCTGTTAGAATTATTGTAATTTATCATTAAGGATGGGAACACCAGTATCACTAAATAAATATTGATATTGATATAACTGTCAATTGGCAGTGTCATAAACTTAACTATAGTTACGCGAGCGGAAATTACTATAAAATAATTTAATATTCAGGTCTCAGATTTGCATGCCCACTCCCCTTTACCGACGTATACCGGGAATGGGTGACTGGTGTCAAAATAATTGTCTTCGTTATCCACCGAACTGTCCATCGGCTATCTGTCAATGCCCGTAAGTTATTATATGCAGTAACGTTTCAACATTTTAAATAGTAAATGACTTTCAAAGTTTCTTTTTTCCAAGCAACAAAGTAATCGTTTGTACATTTTTAATAGGGAAGTGTGCGATGCGATCGGAGAAATAGCTGGCAAGGAAGGAGCAAGTGTTTATTGTATGGACAAATGTCTCGTTTATCCACCCAACTGTCCTCTTCATCGATGCCACTGTTATTGAACAAAGTGAGGTACACTTGCGTAAAACTATCGTACGACGAAAGTTATAACAATTTTTTTTTTGTAATTTTATTCAGTCATTTCGGAATCATTATTATCGTCGTTGTGTGTGTTTTTCTTTTAGATGAAATTCACAGCACATGTTTCGTAATTTCGAGAATAGATTATTTTTTGTTTATACCCAAAACTATCGAGTAACTCGTATTCCGTCCACGAAAAATGTGATAATTTTTATTTTATAATAGTTTAGTATCGTACATTGTGTTTTATGAACAATACATAATATTTACTGTATTTTGTACAAAATTTATACTTTATAAACATAGTTTCCAAAATCTGTTTAAGCAGACCATTATAAAGATAAAAAAAAACGTCCGTAAGATTTTTATGACATAATTTGTAAACGTTTTATCGTTAAAATAGCGTTGTTTTGTCTACTTTAACAGAACTGTCGATATCATTCTAAAAATAATTTAATCTTCGATTTCAACAAAAATTGTAAAATCTGAAAACAGTGAACATCAGTCGTCTTTTTATATATAATTTTCTAAAATTGAAATAAAATCTTCGTCTGTACGAAGCCATTCTATTTTTCTTTTCCAAACAGAAAGAGGTTCGATTTTCTTTAAATATTTTCTTCTGGTGATTTTAAAGTTTTTTTTTTCGACTGAATTTGCAATAAAAATGTAAGAATATTAAAAGGAAGTACCGATAGGGAGTGTAGGATAGCAGTAATAGCGATTAGAATCGTTAAGAAATCGACAGGTGAAAAATACGCACTTAAATAATAAGTCGTGAAGCTCTCAACACGTCTTGTTCTACCAATTTCCACGGCACGAATGTCAACTCTATAGTGGAAAGCATTACGGTTGTAAATTAGGAGCAAGTGGGGTTAGCTCAAACGTATCGAGTCTGATCGCAAGAACAGGTTAACCCCCAAATTCACTAATATTATTGGTCCTTATGGTCGAGGACGGTCCAGGTAGAAATTACGTCAATAAAAGAATTAAATAAAGCTTCAAAACCAACCCTTAATTGCCCAATGATTTATTATCCTTGCACTTTCCCGACATCGTTATGTGAAACATCCATCTAGCGAAAGATTCGATAGTTCTTCTTACACGCTGCATCTTCATCTACTACGCGAATCATAAGTGACTCTGTCAATCGAAATACGTTAATTTTGCAATGTACCAATGTATAATGCGTAAATATATTACCTTTCGATCTAACTTAATCAATGTTTTTCATGCAAATTATTTTCGATATTAATAGCAAACGAAATTGTTGGTACATGGTTTGAATACGAGTTTCCACAGTCAGATTTCTTAAATGTAGAATGCCTACGTTGTAAAAGTCTTTTTCACGATATATGTACTTCAGTCTCTAAAAAGCCTATGACTGTAATAAAATACACGCAGTAGGTTTGAAAAACTCGAAACAATTTCTCGAATGCTATAAATTAAATGTAAATTTTACTTTTGTAAATAAAGCACAGTTTTAAGCACTGTATAAATTGATAAGAGGAGTCACAAGCTCTTTGTCTGTGTGTAATCCATGTGTTAAGAAAAAAACATTAAATGCAACGTTTATGTTGCACATTTCGTATGTGCGTGTGCCACAATGCGAACTCGTATCTTTTACCATTACAGTGTCAAATACGATGTTATCGACTCAGGATCAAGAAAGGTTCCTATGTAATTACTGGTAGGTATGAAAACAAATAACTTTAGGGAACATTTTAGGACGCACAAAGAAACAGTTGATTTATAGGTTAGAGCAGGTATTTAGTGAAAGTTTGTGTTTTATAGCGTAGACTGCAACATTGTCGATTTGACAGGTAACAGAGTTCAGAAATATTATTTGCAGGCAATTCATGTTGTATTTTATTAATGTAACAATATGATTATATGTTCTAATTAAAAGAAAAACTGCATTTTAATGTAATCGACAACATGATGAATGACAATAAAAATATGTGCAATCAATATTCATAAATTTAGTGGTTAGCAAATGCAAAAATTTCATTCGTTATTATTTATTAAGTTGAAAGTTAATATATTTACACATTATACGTTAGTAGGGTTATAAAACTGAAGTATTTCGATCGATTGAGTTACTCATGATTTGCGTAGTAGATCGAGATGTAGTCTGCAAGAAAAACTCTCGAATTTATCGAAAGGTGCTGCATCGCATTGTGATGTCATAAAAGTATAAAAATAACAAATCACCAAGTAATTAATTGTTTGTCTGGAATCTTTATGTATGTATTTGTTTTACAAGTGCAGTTTCTATCTGGGAGCATCCTCAATTACAAGGAACAACGATATTATTGAATTCGAGGTTTAAGTTTTTGGCCCAAACGTAAACATCACGAGCCAGGCTCGCGGACAGCAAATCACGATTGTGATTGAGTTTTAGTTTCTATCAGTACGCCACAAGAGTCGGTCGCGATTCTTATAACCTCTGTTACAAAGCAGTTTAGCATCAGTCTGGTCTGTTTACCGCGTATTGACGCCTGCCATTTAGGCCCGGATTTCATCGAGCTAAATGATACGGGAAGAGGTTAACCTGTCCTTGCGATCTAGAATCGATACGTTCGATCTACCCCCACCCTCTTCTTATTTGCAACTTTGCAACAGAAACGAGTTGCGCAATGGGTCGACATACGTTTCATGGAAATTGGCGGTTTACAACGTATTGGCAGCTTCACGACTAATTAGGTACATACTTTTTATTTATCGACTTCTAAACTATCCTAATCACTGCTCTCTGCCACTCTCTATCGGTGCTTTAATTTATTATTAATACGTTTGTATCACTAATTCAGTCAGAACCGTAAAAAAGGTTGAATCAGTTTCGCGCTTTTTCTTCGATACCGGCATCACTTATTATTAGATCTTTCTAAATGATATTACAGTCGTATAAAACGTGTTTCAAGTTCATTTACCGTTTAATCACGATACAAGTACGGTTATTTTAACACATTTGATTGAAGCATTTTATTTTTATTATAGTTTTCGATTGCAATTCGAATGGAAGGAACGCTACGGTCACACTACGGCCACGCAATCGACGCCGTGATACTTGACAATCTCAAATGGAACAAATTTAAAATGAAGTGCTGGTAATATCTAATATACATACATTATTACAACAGATGTCGTATGTGTAGATGTCTATATATTTTAGTCTTTGTATTGGAATTTTATTGGAAAATTGGAAGTACGTGTATTTTACTACATTTTTATTGCTCATAACTGTAATAAGAAAAAGCAGTAACATAATATTTTTAAATTCAATTCGTACGTTTATTGACAAGAAACTATATTCGTAGTATAAGAAAACAGTATTTCCTTCGTCAAAAACTAGATAAATAAAAAAAAAAATAGAAAACAGCAGGTGTGTTTAACTAATATTTTTTGTTTTCTCTCCCAATCTCTCTTCTAGCAATTTTGATAGCCGCGTGCAATGCGGCAGGTAAAATCGGTGTTTGTTTCGTAAAATAATTTGTTTCTTTTTAAAGCACAATGACTTTGGTGTAAATTATCGTTTACAATTTAAATGCACGCGAAGATCGAGTCAGTGTTTATTGCGCACTTGTAAAATTTTTCCAGAGCATCGGGGCTCCTTTTAGGTTATGAATCGGGATAAAAGAGTCACTTTACAATTTTTTTTTTGAAAATTAAAATCATTCGTTACCAGTATTAGAGTCAGTGCATCACTGAAGAAAATTATTGGACGATGCTTCACAAGCGAAAAATGTAAGTATATATTTTCATGTTTAGGAAAAAATTGTTATTGTTAGTTTCAAATTTTCAAAATTATAATATTTTTATTAAAATTAACATTTTTATAATTTTCAACACAGAGTGTTATATTTTCTGTCTTTTTTACAGAATTCTGATACCACGTCACCAGATTTATCGATCGAAAGAACTTCTTTGATGACTTCGATGATGATTTCCATTGGATAATGGAAAACTACTACTTTTTGCATTCTACAATTGGTGAGTTGCATACTATTTTTTAATTCCCTGGTCTTCTTGTACACTGTTTTTTAATATCATAAATAAATGTTTCACATTGCGATGAATAATTTTTAATACGAACATTTATTAATGAAAATATATTAAATATTTATAAAATGAATATTTTCATTAACATACGACTGAGTAGTTCAAATATGAACGTTAGTTGCATAATAATTTTTATAATATGAGTTAAATATGGAATTTATTCATTTATGATTATTTTTATTATAAAATTATGATACTGGTAATATTGTACAGATATGGAATATAACATATGTATGATGTATTTCATGTAGAAATAGATATTTATTGTATACTATTTTCTTCTTTTAAAAAATTTACTTTGACGTCAGAATCGACTAAGGATAGTTGAATATTTGAATTAACAATTTAATAAATTTATTTCAATGATTTATCTATAATTTTCAAAATAAATTATTTCATTTGTGCCAACATCTCGTCTTCCAACAGTAGGTAGGATAGGTAGGTTTTTTTTGATACTAGGAACATGTATACTATAACTTGCACCTACTATCTTTTCAAAAGCAATTTCCACGACTGTAAGGTCCCCTTGTAAGTAGGTAGGAAAAGATTGATACAATGGGTATAGCCGAATAAGGGGGTCAAATGTGCCCCCAAACCGAATTGAACGAACGATGGGTCATTCGATAGCTTATCAAAAAAAAACCCTATGTGCCAATTTTTAACTTGAAATTTCGACCGCGGGGGTAGTAATGGAATGAAAACGAAAATCATGTTCATTCGATAGCTTATCAAAAAAGAACCCTATGTGCCAATTTTTAACTTGAAATCTCGACCGTGGAGGTAGTAATGGAGTGAAAACGAAAATCATGTTTTTGTGCAATTTCTCTTGACCTACTGAGTAAAAATATGTACAAAAATTCAGAGACATTTCGGGTACCGGGGCACATATTTTGGAAGATTTTCAGATTTTTTGATTGAAGAACCAGGTAGCACAAAATAAAAAACCGCAAAAAATGCCGAAAAATGTCAATTACGTATTGAAGGAGGTCCGGAATTACTTTTATACTTTTACAGTAAACAGGTATTGCTATTACTATTATTCTAAATTTTTTTCAGACTTTTCATTTTGATGGGCCGCAATAAAAAAAAATAAAAACCGATTTTTTCCTCATTTTCTGCGTATTCGAGTAACTTACACGTTGAATTTTTATGTATTCTTCAATATATGAGTGTTTTGTAGACTGTTTAAAGTTTCTACACTAAGCAAAATTACATAACAATTGAAACAAATAATATAAAGCCAACCATTGAGCGCATACATAAAAAATTCGAGTCTCTCTTCTGGACTTAGTATTTTTTTTTTTTCAAATTCTAATTATATAACAATGTTTTATATTTATTTATTGTTCTAAAAGCATTTTGCAAATATTTTTACCTGAAATATGTATAAATATAATTTTTGAGCGTTTTTTGCGTCTTTATTTTTTGTTGTCGACCGCGATTATTGTTTAACATCTCTTACACTGAAATTAATGTGAAATGTTAGTTTTCAAATTTCTTACCTTTGACAGAAGATCGTATATTGGCTTACTATTACTTCTTCTTCCCCTTCGATCAAGCAGATCTTTCCTTCTTTTTCACTTTCTTTGATAAATATAAATGTTTGCTTATTTTCACTTTAAAGCGTATTATTTTATAGAGCACTTGAAATTTTAATATTACGAAAGTATTAATCAAAACATGAAAAGAAGCACAATCTCACGCGTATGTAGGTGGAGAAAGTAGGTGAAGCAGGAATTAAATACAACAGACAATTTAATGTCACTATAATATTTAATATTAGGACATTCTATTGACAGCTTATAACATTACGCATGTATCACATATTATATATGTAACGAATAACATCTTTTCTGCATTTACGTATACGCGACTATGCGCGACGCGTACGCACGAACGTGCCACGTATACGTAATCGCAGCTACGGTTCAATGAGAAATTTCTTCAATACATTATATAATTCTCTCCATAGTGATCATGGTGAACTATGCAAGTGCAATATACACCTTGTGGTTGAGTATCTTAATTTCTCAATGAAAACTCGTCACTCGTAGTTTATGTCGGCCTCTACTGACGTAAAACAATTACGTCGGCTCTGCTCCGGTCGTTCATCTTTTTGATCACTATACACTGTTTAATACTTTACAAAACTATGTACACTAAAGCCTTTTTGTACTCTATAACGTGTTACCTTATCCCTAAACAATAACGATTCTTTCTTGTTTCTTTCTTTTGCATATACTTTAATCGTTTATAGTTGGATCGAAGAAAGAGTCGACTTGAAACACATTCCGCCATATTGGGCAATGGCTACCGATCGCCAAATATATCACAAATCGTGTCGAGAATCAAATTACGCGAGATTGAAGTTCATAATAGTGTCGTTTGAATACAAACTTTTTAATCGGGACGAAAAACATACGGTATGGAAGCAGTGTGCAGAAATATTATGTTCAAAATGTCTAATAGGTGCAATTGATAGAATTTCCCTCGCCGATCAAGTCGATTTATTCTTCGATCCTAACGCGCTACATCGTAATTCTCTTTGTGTGTTCTTGTATGCATGTAACAGTAATGAGTTAAGCACCGTGAAAAAAAAATTTGAAACGTAATAGGCGCGTCGCACACCACTAGCGTAATTACAAGGTGTCTAATACAAAGGTCGTTCCCTTCATTCCTTTTTCTCGTTTACGTTCTAATTTTATCTAAGCAACTATTCAACAACCATAACTGGATTTAGAATACACCAAACCACGTACGTCTGGATTTTATCTTTAAGTCGTCTTCGTCCTTGCTTCTTTTTTTTCCCATTTTTTTTTTTCTCGTTAAAACATCAATTTTGATTCTGACATTCCGTTTCAAGTTTCGTCGTGTGTTCCCTTCGATTTTTTCGCTGTGTCTCCTTTTACATTTTCACCGTTTGGCTTCGTCCCTGGACAACGTACGAAAAAATACATCCTCCTCCTTTCGACGAGTGTCAGAAGAGTTAACTTTATTAATACGAGTCGCGCGCGTCCTACATTTTGCCAAGCGATTTTCATTCTTATTCGTGTTAATGGATCGTCGAGTTTCGGGCTATTCGACGTTAACGATTACAATAAAGTTTCGTCAATGGGAATACATTTTTTTCCATTTTCGTTTTATTAATCCCTTAACGATCGATACTTACATTTCGAATTATGCTCAACCTGCCGCGTGTTACTTTTAACAGCCTGAACGCTGTCGAAGTTTGTCGGCGGTCAATGAAATTGATGATCAAGCACGTATCGCGTGAATCTTTCGTCTTCTCGAGTAGGTACTATTTTATCCATACGAACCTTAAGTATTGAATTTAATAATATCCATTGATATATATTGAGCTTGATATTAACACTAAACCGAAAGTGTAAAAGAAAAGTTTATAATGTAAGTAATCGATGAAATCGAATTACATGTATCAGTGGTGGCCAAACCATGATAAAAATCATATACATATAATATTCACACCATAAACGTATCGGTGATTATGAAAGCGGCGCAAGTAAATCCAAATGTCGTGTTTAGTCGTGTGTAAATTATGGTAGTGACATAAAACAATAATCACAAGAGAAAAGTGTAATTGTATTAATTTTATAAAAAATAAGGTAGCTTTTAGAGGTTTTCATGCCCATCAGAAATATTGGAGAACTCTGATAAAATAGTATTTTACGTATACGGGGTGTTCGTCCATACCTGGGAAAAATTTTAATGGGGAATTCTAGAGGCCAAAATAAAACGAAAATCAAGAATACCAATTTGTTGATGGAGGCTTTGTTAAACAGTTATTAACATTTAAAGTTCCGCCTGTATTTAATATTTTTTTCGAAAACGCGCAGGAATTCAGGGGTATGTCTATTCACCAAAAATGATTGTAATTGACCCTTGCAACTGAAAATAATTTTTCCAGAATGATTTGAAATTTTTTTTTTCGTCGAATTTAGGCACCTAATTATATTTTCGGCAAGGAATTTTTTCCTCGAAAGTGTGTAGGATTTCGGGGGTAATAGTAATGACCAAAAATGATTGTAATTGACCCCCGTAACCGAAAATAATTTTTCCAGATCGATTTGCAATTTTTTTTTCCGTTGAAATATTTCACACTTTCTCGAATTTTTTTCTAGAAACTGGGTAGGATTTCGGGGGTATGTATAGTCACTAAAAATGATTGTAATTGACCCCCGCAACCGAAAATAATTTTTCCAGAACGATTTGAAATTTTTGAATTTAATTGTTAATAACTTTTTAACGAAGCCTCCATCAACAAATTGGTATTCTTGATTTTCGTCTTACTTTGACCTCTAGGTAACCTCTTTCCCAGGGATGACCATGCATTGGGAATAAAACAAATTTAATAATATATCTTCTCGAAAATATAGATTTCTTATAAATTATTTTCCCTCCTTTTCTTTTTATTTAAATACACCAGTTTTTTGTCACTGGTTTCTGTGGGTTTGTAGTTATAATATAAATTCTATTTAATTTTATGTAATTATAATTAAATTTTTTAATAGTATCCACGAAAGAAAAGAATTTTAACACAGTAAATTTTAACGAGTTTCAAGTTTAACATTTTTTAAAATTATCATTGGCTATGTCGCATTTGATTCCGTAAATTAAACATTTTTCAAAGTTTTTTTATAAAATTTGAGGTTTAGAGCAAAAAGAAGCGGAATATTTATTTATATTGGGTATGAGAAAATATGAAAAAGTTACGTCGAAAAATGTTAATTTTCTAAAAAGCTAGCAGAACTTGAGAATTTATTTCTCTATTTTTGACGTGGATCCTTGAATCGTAGAATTTAAATATAACGAGAAGTATAAGTATGGGGGAACCATAACAAAGATAATTTGGCCACCATTGTCACATACGATTCGTTAGTCTACGCTCGAGGTACTTCTTATTCGTTATATTTTTTTTCAACATCGTTCGTTGTTTAAAACGACGACGATGTCTCGACGGCGTGTCGGATTTATTGTTTAAAATATATATTCGAGACGGTGGATGCAAGATAGAGAACGAGAAAAGGCTGTCGTTCGTGAAACTTTGTCCATCAGCCAAGTCGATTTCCTTTTATCGACTCTACCACAGACGACAGTCGACTTAAACGTTACAGTTTCTTAATTTTAACGGTAATTCGCTAGATATATAACATTTTTCAGCGCGCACGTGTAAAGCAACCTGGATTTATCTAATACGAAACGATAAAATATCGCGGGACACACGGGATCGCTGAAATCTTGAATCGATTACCTTTGTCCCCCACAGAAATTGCTACTTAGCTACATAATGTACGTTCTCTTTAAGACTTTCCATCGTCGACGTTCCTTAGTGGTTAAAACGACTAGACGTTCATTGTCTTGTAGCGTGGATTCTTTTTTTTGGGGTTTTTAGGTACATTTTCAGTCTTTCGGTGGTAATATATGGTTCATTTTCATTTAATCGTATCGTTGTATAATTATTCAGGCCGAATGAGAACAAAAGTAATTACTTTATCTGGAATCTCATGGATCTTATAAATCAGCCGAGACAGCAAAATAAAAATAAAACATAACATTCAGAATTTGTTCTATCATAAGTGAAGAAATTCTAGTTTAATATAAATGTTATGTAGTAACAAAGTTAAATATATTCGATGGAAACAAGAATTTATAAAAAACTAAATTACGTTTAAAAAATGTTAATTTTACCAAATTAACAACATGGTGTTTATTATTTATATACGATTATTAGCAATATGTGTTTGTAATCTTTTTTTTATTATTTTTTTGTTTTTTTAAAGCAAACGATGAATACAAATAGACAATTTACGGTATCGAAATAGAGAATCGCTGTTTACTTTAAGAGCATTTTTTATTCAATCGAGCAAGTTGTTATTACAGGTTCAAAAAGTCTTGATACATCCTTCGAAAACACCCTGCACGTAATTAGCAATGTACAAATGAATCTACACCGGCCCGAAGAATTATAAGTTACACAATTAAATCTAGAAAAATAATAGTGCCTTTTGTTTACAACGTCCCTTTTCTGCTTGTTCTCGTTAAAAAAGACTTGGAAGACATTTGTAGTCAAGGAATCCGAGTGTTTGTATATCGTATATATTAAAATATCATACAACTACAGATTTTAAATAATGATCTACACAGGGCCAGATATAGAACAAAATTTCATTAGACAAATTTAAACAGGCATTTCGATGATTTCAAGATTATCCCTATTCTTTGTTTTTATAGTTACTTTCTTCGTCATACTTGAACGTAATCCGGGTACAGTGAAGTTAAAATACCTTCTAATTAATTTTCGACTTACCCTTATATCTTTTCTGTAGAGAATAAACGTTTAAATTTGCCTACTCAAATTGTCTTTTATCTCTTTCCATTTAAGTGTTGCACAACACCCCGTACAGTAAAAGGAAAAGTGCGTTTCAAAATTGAAAATCAAAAACGTTTAAGAATCATAGATCAATAAAATCAATACAATTCTTAAACTTATAATTTCCAATCAGGTGTCCCTCGTCAGGCGTTTGTCGTCATTTTATGAACACTGTTTATCATTTTTATATACATATTTGTAAATACCGATGTAACTTACTTGTTAAGTATTTGTATGTATAGTCGTTACTAAAAGAGCAATTGCCAAATGGCGTTCGCTAATAAATATTTGTATCTCGTCTTTTTATTAAACGTCTATAAAGAAACACGTTGAGAATGAAATAAAATGGAAAAAAAACGGCAAGAGATTCAGGATGTACAGCGATCCTCTAATTGTCCCTTGTACGTTAACAAGGACTTTAACGAACGATGAGTAAAATCAATCTTCCATGATACACGATTAAAGATCTGTAGATACATCGGTGCACACGTATAAGCGTCTCTAAAAACGTGGAACAAAAATAGATTTTTTTGATTCATTTTGAGGCTCGTTCGTGGATAATTGTATCGTGAATATCCTCCCTACTCCCCATCCCAGCGGATTTTTATAAGATAACGTAACCGAATAGATCGTCTCTGTTCACGTAAATAAGATCCAGTCTTACGACGAAACTATCGCTACTAATGTCACAGTTAACTGAATAATCTCAACATCTATACCGTACTCATACGCATCCCCTTAGAAACTGTAATATATTTGTCGTCTTCATTTTATTACCAACTGCCTATCTACAATAAGAATGTTTATAATAGTTAAGTTGAGCTCCCGAATTAACAGTAAGTTCGTCGTGAGTATTTAAAATTTCTTAGAACTAGCCTCGAGTGCCCGAACTGTTACCAATGACTGCTTTGCTGTGTTTCTAAACTAACGTCCCTTAATATTAAAAATTTTATTGCACGATACAACGCTGCGAAATTAACGCGAAAAATATTTACCGGAGCATTTACCGGATAACCGAGTTTGTCAACGAATTTTACTTGCCTTTGTTAAAATAGAAAAATGCTAATTAAATTCGTGAATATCCTTAAAAGATCCTCTGTCCCTGTTCCGTTTCATCGTAATCGTCAATCGTACCGATCCGATCGAAACATAGTCTGTACTTCATAGAAGATGTTCGCGCGGATGTTCGACACGTTTACTGTACTTTCCTGTACGTATTGCGGAATATTTAAAACACAATTATCTAGATGAATGGATGTCGTAAGTTTATTCTCCTAATTCTTAAAATACAACGAGACGTTCAAGTTATATCTAACAAGCACTCGAATCGATTTCTTAAGGAGAGAGAAAAGTAGATAAACAATAGACCATACGATCAAGTTTTATTTATAATTCGATCAAGGGTTCGATCAATGTCGAAGGGTTCTGGGTACTAGGGCAGTAACAGTACCCAGAACCCAACCGTATCTCAAGGAAGCGATTATTCGGGGATATTTAAATATTTTTAGGCAATCGACGGACGAATCGTTATTATTACGTCCCCTTATTTTTCTGCGTTTTCCTTTTTCCTTCTTCGTCGATTTAATTTTTATATAATCACGAACAGCGAGTAATAAACAGCTTACACATCGAGTTTCTACCATCGAAACGTAACAGACGCGTTGTCTCTGTATTTCTTAAGCATATAACGCAGGCCATTGTATGTTCAGGCCGTAAGCGAGTCTAATATAAGCGCTAAATACTTTTAATTAGATACTTGTCGCGTATCCAACGAACGCTAAAAGTTACGTGGAACCATAATCAAATATCACGACGACGAAGCGTTCCTATTACGAACAGTAATCTAAACCATTTACACGTTGGTGTAACGTTTGAATCGTTTCGTCAAATAACATTTCCAATCGGATTTCTGGCACGGACACGAAACTTTACGGTATTAAAAGAAATTAAAAGGGTTTTCGAACCAAACGATGAAAAAATGAAACAGTTTTTTAGTTTGCAATTTGTATTAAAGAAATTTGCGTTTGGCGAGGGCGGCCAATGGGCTCATGTTTGACGAGCACTCGCGTGATCGCATCTTTGCATTTAATACTCATGCAGGATCGAACGATAAATGGAATTTGTTCTGTATAGATCGAACCGAGAAATACTTTGTAACGTCGTAGATTAAATTTCATTTGGCTACATAGACAGACACGGTTATAGCTTGGTTTTTTTTTCATCTGGCCACAGTACACCATCTAACATCACGGTAAATACGTTATTCTAACACACGTTGCACGCTATAATATACTACATCTATGGCGCAGCGACGCTCGAATTTTTATAAATCGAGGATCTACGGATAACGATCGCGTCGGTTGTGTCCCTTTCCAAGAGGAAGATACATAAAATGGCATTTTAGCGGACGCGTGTACCGAAACAACGTCGTCGAAAACTTACGATTACAGTTAGAATCACGAAAAAACCGGCAACAATTATGCTTCGTGTATCGGTAATGCATTTTGGTGACGTATGCGTTGGAACTTACACGTACGAGCCTCTCGTGGCGTGATCTAGTCGAATATCTTATCTTACGCACGCGCGAGATCTTCAGCGATTTTCTTTCGGATCGAAACGACGCTCCTTCTTCTCTTCACCGCTCGTTATTTCTTCCCGGTAACCAAATCGACGATCGGTTGGCCTCCCTTTCTCTTCGATCGATCCCAAGAAACGAAAACAATTGTAACGCGTTTCTCGTTAGCTCGGGCACTCGAACTTAGTATAGTAAAATCGAAATTGAACCTCTGAATGTTGGTTTAAGTGTAAAATGTAAGTTTTTTACATATTCAACGCCAAGTTACAAGTAACCTAAAGTCGCGTAGGTTTTTACATAAGGTGCATCCACTCTACAGTTTTCCCTGAAACAAATTGCAGACTTCAGACGTTAGTCGGTCCAGTTACAAATTCTAGTTTAAAGCAATGAAATTTGTACGAAGCGGCTAATGCTCTATAAGCGGTGAGTAGAATTGCGACAATATTGCTGTGACATGAGTTCGTATCAAATGAAAAGAGAAATAGGAAAAACGGAGGATATCGTTGTTTATCATTTTTTTTTCTATTTACTTCGTTGGTTTGATACGTGTGTATGTGCATGTGTGGATGTCTATGCTAAATATATCTATTGTTACTGTGTACACTGGATCTATAAAAATTGTCCTTAATTTGTGAAAAATCAATCTTTTTTTAAATGAATTTTCAAGACAGTAGTTATGAAGTTTGACGGGTAATGAAATAAACTTTTTCCAAAATTCTGATTCGTGTTTTTATTGACACCATATACAGGGTGTTCGGCCACCCCTGGGAAAAATTGTAACTGGAGATTCTAGAGGTCAAAATAGGACGAAAGTCAAGAATACCAATTTGTTGATGGAGGCTTCGTTAAAAAGTTATTAAAGTTTAATATTCCGTCTGTATTGAATTTTTTTCTCGAAAATGCGTAAGATTTCGGGGGTATGTCTATTCACCAAAAATGGTTGTATTTGACCCCAGAACCTAGAAATAATTTTTTTAGAACGATTTGAAATTATTTTTTTCCGTCGAAAAATTTTTCTTAAAAATTCGTTTTTCTTTTGTAATAAATTTGGTTGGTTCTGTACAGAAAAGTTGTTCAATACTTTTTTGTAGGTATCCATAAACTCTAGTTCTCCTCCAAATTTCAATGAAATATATTCACTATTGTAGGAGTTATGGCTGTTTGAAAATTGGATCGTTTTTATGGGATTTTTCTCATTTTGCGAAGTCAAGGAATAACTTTTCGAATATTTTTGCAACTTCTACGTATTCTCTACTAAAATACGTGTAGTTTGCATTTTGAAACATTAAAATCGTCCAATCCGTTCAGGAGTTATGGCATTTTAAAGTTTTGCATACAAATTCGGGGGTGCATTTGTGGCCTCACATTAGATTTTCGGTAATGAATTTTTTTCTCGAAAGTGCATAGGATTTCGGGGGTATATCTATTCACCAAAAATGATTATAATTGACCCCTGCAACCGAAAATAATTTTTTTAGAACGATTTAATATTTTTTTTTCGTCGAAAAATTTGACCTTTTTGAATGTTTTTCTCGAAAATGCGTAGGATTTCAGGGGTATGCGTATTCACCAAAAATAATTGTAATTGACCCCCGCAACCGAAAATAATTTTTCCAAAACGATTTGTAATTTTTTAATTTAATTATTAATAACTTTTTAACGTAGCCTCCATCAACAAATTGGTATTCTTGACTTTCGTCCTATTTTGGCCTCTAAAATCTTCCATTGCAATTTTTCCCAGGGGTGGCCGAACACACTGTGTATGATGTACGATATTTTCGTGTTATTTTTAACCGTAAAATAGGTCGATGGAAAATCAAGGAGATATCCTACTCACGGAGGGCTGGCGACACAAAAATAGTAGCAAAATTTAAACAAACATGTACCTTGTTTGTACTTGCTTGTAAATTGTAAACATTTTATACTTCAATAATTGTACAGCGTTTAATTTAATAAGAAGTGATCGAAGTAGTCATCTTCTCTATGAATGACAGACGTGTCGAATTAATTGAATTGAAGAAAATAGAGGTACTATTCTTCACTTAAGAAACCAACAACAATACAGTGCAAATGTATGGGCAGAAATGGTTAAAAATAATCAAATTGAACCTGTTCTTTTTGATTCTTTATATAATACATTAATATGTAAATTTTTTGGGCAAATAATTAATAGAACAATATAAAAAAATTCTATTTGATGTTCGAATTTAACTTTCATTGCTAATGAAATATCTTATGTTATGGTTGTATCAAATACTTAAGGGAGTAAAATAATGTCAAGATAATTTATTCAAGTTTAAAGTATCATTGAATCGTTAAACCTGTTTTTTCAAGAACACTAAAAGTGGAGATACAATACGTGTGTTATAAATTATCGATATAAAAAATTGAGAAACTTTGACACAAAGCCAATAAGGTGAAGGTGTTTCGAGTGCTTCCTGCGAAGGTAAGCAACTGCACTTTACCAAAGTATAAAAATGACTATAACTTCAGAACAAGGTTAAATAGGGAACATGTTTATCGAATTCTTTATTGTTTCTACGTCCCCAATTAAAATTAAAATAATAAAATATTTTGTTAAAACAACCAAACAACATGGAGATTAATTAAATCGCAATAATTCATAGGCATTGCAACGGATTTAAAAAATGCAAAAGATGAAACTATAACTAGGATTTGCAAAAACTATGAAGTTACACAAATTTCGAAAACTGCATAAGTATCAAAAATTGTATTACCAATACGTGTATATACAGTGTTCGTGTAATTAGTGTCCAGTCTTTCTTCAAAACTGATATGAAAATAAGTTAAATATAAAAAAAATTTTCTCGATCTTCCAATGAATTCAACATTATAAAAAATAATTTCACATCTTTTAACCAGCAAATACTATTTTTATACAAGCACAGAAATTACGTAATAATTTAATTTTTGATTAAAAATTGCGAATTTTGGAACCTTTCGAAGGAACTAACAATATTTAGTCGCATTCTTGAATTGTTCTTTTGCATCTTCCCTTGTAAATTGCGGATGTAATTCTGTTTATTCGCACACCGACCTTAAGTCGAATTACAGATATTGCAAGAATTACACTCCATGGACATAAAATGTATTTCAACGAGTGATCAATGAAAATTACTACTGTAGCGTGTAAATATAATTACATACATTATACGGAATTACAACAACGTATATTGCGTAAAGCACGAGACAATCGAGTAATGAAGGAAAAATGTTAATCGCCCGTGGATAAGTTGAGAGAACTAAAGAATAGAACGCAACTAGTGAATTATTCGATAAAGGAATTGAAAAATGGGCGGTACAGATACTGAAAGGCAGAGATATGCTTGGACATTTATTGTAGGAAGCACTATGGACTCCGTAGCTTCCTTTTGGCCGTTATGCTTCGTTGTATACTGGTACGTTCGAAGAGATAATATAAACGGCGATTCCACGTGGATCATCGAACGCATAATTTTTGCAGATCTCTGTTGGTTAGAAGAATGCTCCTCAGTTGATCTGCCCTTTCGTCTTTTACCTGCCCAAGGTGGAAAAACTGCATCCCGGCTCTTTCGTGTAAGGGATGGGTACATGCCTCCTATATGTAGAAAGGCAAAAAGATTTTGGCCACTCAAGCTTTCTAAGACATTACATTTCCCATATTATTTGACAATCCTTCGTTAATTTAAAGAAAAAACCTAGAGCAAAGTAGACAATCTCTTTTCACACGATTCTTCTTAGAACAGCGGTTCTCAACCAGTTTTCCTCACAAAATATTTTCAACTAGAAAATGCTCTTTGCAAAACTCCAAAAAGTCACTTATCCCCTTTTTCCCCTCTATGTATCCCAAATCTGTTTTCCTTGCTGTTACTAATTGTAAGCCTAACGCCAAATACAAAGAGGTATCTTCTAAGTTTTAGCTTGTGTGTACAAAATAAATACAAATAAAAAGGATTCAGATTTAATTCGTTTCATTTATGAAAATGTTACAATATGCATCAAATTATATTTGTCGAGAAGGTCGAGGAACCCATATTTTTACATCGAATTCAATTTACAATACAGTAAAGTACACAATAGGAGGTCAGCATCGATTTGATGCAACTGCAACTAAAAATGAAAATTTCTGTCATAGGAACTATGATACTTTTAAATCTGTTTACTCAACTAACATCTTTTTACTTACTTATTAAATACATAATTTTTAAATTTAATTATGTTCAGTTCGAATATTACATGTATACTTTGAGAACCGCTGTCTTAGAATACAAAAATGAATTAGATATGTCACGTGCTGCTACTGTAATGGCCAAAATCTTTTGTTCCTTCTACAAAGTGTTCCTAAAATGTTTGTCTAAAATTTACTGGTATCACGCTAATCGTACTGACGAAAAACTATCGTATAAAGATAAATCTATAAATGCTCTACTTCCAAACGAAGTCTCTTATCTGAGTTATGGCATTTTGCAAAAAATCCTCTATTTGGTGAGCAATCTATAATATTTTAGATATGTTTAAATAAAGAAATATAAGGGCCTGGAACAGTTTTCTTTTCTCAATCCAACTGTTAAGAAGAGCAGTGCATCTGAAACGATTCGGAGCTCTGTTACGCATATAAAACATTCGACCACGCGTTTCGAATGGAATGTTTTCTAGTCACACAGACAACTTTCTCTCTTTCCCCCTTCTGTTTTCTTCCAAGTAACTTCAACTTCAACCCACAAAGTGTCGAGAAATAGTCTAATTACACAACATATTATGATATCAAATTCCTGCAGAGTTCGGTTTTGAAAAATATTTTATTCAGCACATGTTACTTTATTTCAATTTATCCAATTTATTCCAAAAAGCGTTACTGTATACTATTGGGGAAACAAGATGATGGCATACTGCCTATAAATTAAACGATGCAAGGGGCAAGGAGAATCGTTTGTACGTTCTGGCTAGTCAGAAACATTTCTGACCACACGTTATATTTTCGATAAAGAATTTTTTTCTCGAAAGTGCGTAGAAATTCGAGGGTTTGTGTATTAACCAAAAATGATTATAATTGACCCCCGTAACTGAAAATAATTTTTTTTAATGATTTTGAAATTTGTTTATTTCGCCGAACTGCACCTGCCCTTCGTCGATTTTTCTTAAAAATTTGTCTTTGATTTTTGTGAAATATAATCCGTAACATTTACCGAAGAATAATCGGAACTCTACTATACTAGAATTTGTACCTACTACCGTTTCAAAAGCGATTTCCACTGTCATAAGTTCCCCTTGTAAGGAGATAAAAAGAATGGATACGATTGGAGATTTGTTTTCTCGAAAAAAGCCCAGATATGTGTCCACTTATTTTTGCTCTAGAATCATCAGAAAAGGTTTCACGTTCGTAGTGTGCGAACATCTCGTTTCCCAATAGTATCTATCGTAATCGATCCTACCAAGCCCTTTCATAATGTTTCTATATTTAACATCTCACTCGAATTGCGAAATAGTAGTTTGAAAGGAGTGCATTTGGAGATTTATATCAGTACGACATTCTTGTTCATCGGTATGGTTAGTAAAAGATATCGGTAAATTTTGTCTGAATATTTTAGATCACACTGTACAGTCACCGTCTTCCTGAGTTGCCACCTTTCACGTCCATCTTCGTGCGCGTACATCGTCATTGTCAAACAAGCTTAACCATAAATATTAAAAAACAAACCAGGTCCTACGGTGGCTATACCCTACGTCTAGTCTTACTGTTCGTAAATATCGATCGTGACTCGATAAAAAAAAAAAAACAAGATGAGATTGTACTTACTCGTCTTCCCACGGGCATACTTCGTTAACGTTATTGTCACGCTTTTGCTGATGTTCTGGTTGAGTGACAGGCGCTGTTTGGTCGTCCTGTTGAGTATCCGGCTTCCAAACTGGAACAACCTGTGCCTCTTCCAGCAGCTCCACGATTTCTGTTTCCGCTTGAGCCGGGGTCGCCGAGTCCTCGGCGGCGATCACCGAGTCGCTGTTATCAGGGTCCGGCTCCACCCTTTTAACAGTGCTTTCTGTCGCTTCTGACTCTGCTGCTGTCGCGCAATCGTCGTTTCCTTTTTCCTCGTCGTCGATCGCCGGTACGTCGGTCATTAGATCGCCCACGATCGCGTTTATGCTTATCAGAGGAGCCTTCGGCGATGTTCTCGTCGTCGGTTCCTTCTCGAACGACGAGACCCTCGACTTCGTAATATTGATTTCGGGCTCCTCGGTTACGATTCGTCCTATCGTAGACGTGTCTGGTCTATCGATTGCCACGTGAGAGCACTCGAACGAGTGTTGCGGTGACGGATAGGTGCAGGACGAAGCCGATGGTCGACCAATCTCTGCAAGCTTTACTTTTCTGCTGGTCGAGCTGACCGAGTAGTTTCGTGTCATCATGCCGGATCCACCGGTACTTCGTTCGTACGTTGTTACACCACCTGCGTCACGAAATAAATTACGTTAAATTGAATAAAGTAGAATGATATTCTTGGTAATTATTCAGATTCAGGCGCGTCTCTGTGAAATATAAGGGTTTCTCGGTAAGAAAAATTTAACTATCGATCGTCATAGGTGTCATATTTGTTATTCAGTTGTACGAATATAAGTGACAAAGTTGAAGAACATGACCCAGATTTTTTCCAACATATCCAAATGCGTTCGCCACAATATTATTGATAATTATTGGGGCTAGGGTGCATCTTGTCGTTCCATAAGTTCGTGCCGTTTGACATTCTCAAATTGGCGAAGATAAAACTTGTAATTTAGTAGACAACAAACAAAATTTGCCAGTTCAAGGGATTTCCGTGTGGCGACACTTTCCACGCTCGCCGCTAGGGGGCTACGCTCGAACTATCTCTCTCACAAATGCTTGACTGTTTAATGTCCCGGCGTAATGTAAGGCTGGGCCTGCTAGGATTGCCTTACTAAACTATTACGAAATTTTCACAAACAGTGTTAAGCTACATTTTTAATAAAAAATCAAAGAAATTTTGGTAGCGACGATATAATAGCTTTGCCAAAGGAAAGGAAGTTCTCAAACGAGGAGGTTTTTCGTAAAGGAACTTTCTTCGATGCTCGTACAATTTTCGTTATTTTTACTTGAAAAAATACTGCGGTTTTTTTTTGTAAACAATGACAAAGAAAGGTCCTAAAAATTGCATCTCTAAATCAAGAATACCCCATTAACACGTTGATTGCCACTCTGGCCACCGGTGACGGGCACTCTGAACTTACAAGTTGTGGAAATGTTATTTACAACGAAAGAACCCTAATATAAAATTGCAAGTAACGCTATTTTAATTTAAAATATTGTAAAATTCACCGTTGAATTATCGAATATTTCTAAAAGACCCCATTGACCACGTTGATTGCCACGGTGGTCACCGGTGACCGGCACTCTGAACTTACAAGTTGTTGAAATGTTATTTACAACGAAAGAACCCTAATGTAAAATTGCAAGTAACGCGATTTTAATTTAAAATATTGTAAAATTCACCGTTGAATTATCGAATATTTCTATGTTCACGTCGTAATTTGAACAAATGTTGAGGACATCTTTGGACATGGAAAATGGCGACATGTTAGAGTCTCATGAAAGGTACCGTACCTGTACTACCGCTGTATTGTACGCTGCAAGACTTTCGAAGGTATTCAGAGACTTCCGTTATTACAACACTGACATCGGACGAAGAACTGCAGGAGTCGACCTGCGTTGAATTTTTACGAGACGTACGTGCAATTTCGATAGATTGCGGCTGTCCCATCAAATTGTTACCGCTGTCTTCGGGTTGTCCTTCAACCGACGTTGCTCCAGATAACGTCGGTTGTTGCGGACCCGTGGAGCGCGTGGCGGGCTCTATACTGGGCCCTGGGGCCGCGTCCCACGGACAAACGTCGTCCATAGGGAGAGCCGTTGCTTCCGGCGTACCAACATCCCTGACAACATGAACTTTATTATAGGATTTAGTTTTCACTTTTTCCTTTCGGTAAAGTACCATGACGCCAAAGACGTCAATCTTTTGTTTGATTGTGTCGGTAGGCCATGCATTTACGGGATACAACTGAAAACAGGACTTGTGTAATTAACTATCAATTGCTCCTATTTAGCAACAAAGAGAACTCACAGCACTGGGATCGTCTATTCGAATCGATTTCTTTCTGGTAACCTGTTCTTCCTGACGGTTGGTAGTCAGCTTCATAAAACATTAATTTCCTGACCAACTCGAGTAATTGCAAATCAAAAATATTTTCTAACGCGCAACTTTATATTTTATATTCCTTTTGGTTATATTGCTATTTAATACTTGCTTACTTCGTTACTCTATGGTTTTGTTACCTAAAATTGTTTAAAATTCTTTATGAAAAAAATACTTTTCTTAGTGTTATAAGTTAATTTCAAATATTTTGTTTCTATGAAGAAAAGGATCTCGTACTAATCGTAAAAGTCAAAACGTATTATAGTTCGAAACTTTTGATGAAACACCAGAAAACAGTTGTACAAAATAGAAGTTTACACTGCTGTGATCTCTCCTTGTAAGTGGAAAGTTAAGGATATTATGTACACCGAGGAAGAAAAAAATTACTTTTAGACAACAATAGGTAGAAAAAAGCAGTTGCGACGACTTAATATACTATACAGGGTGTTCGGCCAATCCTGGGAAAAACTTTAATGGGAGATTCTAGAGGCCAAAATAAGACGAAAATCAAGAATATCAATTTTTCATTTGAGGCTTCGTTAAAAAGTTATTAACAATTAAATTAACAAATTTCAAATCGCTCTGGAAAAATTATTTTCGGTTGCAGGGGTCAATTACAATCATTTTTGGTGAATAGACATACCACCGAAATCCTACGTACTTTTGAGAAAAAAATTCTTTAGCAAAAATATACTGTGTGGCCAAAAATGTTTTCCCGAAATTTCATGCGTATGTTTAAAAATCATAAGTTCTGGACGAACTGAACTTTTTAACAAAGCCTCCATCAACAAATTGGTATGCTTGATTTTGGCCTCTAGAATCCTCTATTTTTCCCAGGGATGGCCGAACATCCTGTATATAGGCAAAATTTTTTTAAAATTGATATATGATCATAAAAAATTTGACAATAAACGATACAGTTCACAAAAATATTGTTCACGTGAGATACACATAACACATTTTCCATCATAGCACACAGAAGTGTGATTTTTTTGTCTGGTCTGCGATTACACATTTTTTGATCATCTGATAACAATTCACTGTCATTAATAAAGAATATAATTATATTGTTGTCATTTTGACAAAAGATACTAATTTACTCGATAATTGAGAACTAGCTGCTACTGATAGTGTTAAAATAAGTATTGAAAACATATAACTACACAGGTAAACATAATCGATCTTCCGTGCACTGTGATGGAGAATATTACCTATTTCATGCTGATAATATTTGTTTATAACTTTGTAACAAAACGTTTATTGCCAAATTTTATATAACACTTTTTTCTTATTTTTGCCTTTAGCGATTAAGTTCTCGTAGTTGGTCGGAAAAAATCCGGGACACCGTGTACATTATTAAAGAAAACAGTATCTAAGTGCGTTATTGTAATAATATTGCGTGTATAATATTGCATGTAGTACTTGTACAAGATATTTCGAAGTGTGTGACAAGTAATGGGCTTTATTCGGCACAAAATAAGAAATTTAAACAACGCTGAAGTCCCTAAAAAAGTAATTAAATAACTATTCTCGAAACCTTATATTCATTTAAATGGATAAGATATAACATGTTTTGTAAATTACCGTTCTACAAAGACTGTACGAAATGTCTTGCAGATCCACAGAGTGTATTATACATATAATAGATGATCAAATGAAATGGTGCTAACGAGTATTTTAACTACATAAAATGTTCGTAATATAAGTATATAAAACGGTAACAGATGTCCAAAAATTATAGAATAACCAGTAACATAACTTTCAAGTCGTAGGAATACACTCTATCAAAGATAACATTTATATTTATTTTCCCAAAATTACGGTCATTTGTTTATGGAAATATCTTTATAGAAAAATTGTAAAAACGTCAAGGGAAACCTATAAATAATTATAATTCGATTTACACTATACTAAATTTTCTTCTTAAATTTTTTAAAAATGAAATTTAGAATAATGTAAACCAAATACAAATCATCTAGAAGTTTTTTGCAAAAAATTAAACAACAAATCTAGAAATTTAAATTGTTTATTCAGGTGTCCCCAAAAATTTGTCACCAACTTTCAGGAGCACCCTGCAGGTATACATGAAGACTGAAGTTTCAAAGTACAAAGTAATAATTTGCACGGAAAACTTTTCAAACTTGGTTCAAATTCATAATTTTGGGACATCTTACATAACAATATCGTGACCTTACAATATATTGTTCAAGCGACAAAACTGGATGAAGAAACAAGTTTGATATGTACATATAATAAGAGATACATTACTGAAATTGCCATAGATAAAATACGGTAACGCAAGAAAGTTTTCAAAATACGATAGATACTCAATAAACTCCACCATTTCGACATTTAGAAACATCGAGAGTCGAATAAGATTTGCATACACGTAGTTGTTGGAAATGTCGAACACCTTGAGAAACACACATCGACTAACAGGGATCGTAAAAAGGGAAAAAATTGAATTCAAGTCAAGAGATTCGTATCCGCATACTTATGCAAGAAAGTTACGGAATTTTTTTCGAGGACTTACTGAACACTATGCGGAATAGGCCTGGTGGAGATCTTTGCAAGTCGAGCCAGATCTCCCCTGAAAATACCGCACTGGATAAACCCTATCCTCTCTTCGGCCATTTATTATTACAGACATTGAAACCATTAAAAAGTTGGAACACTTATTATTTCGTAGTACCATCAATGAGATTATTCGAAAATTTTTAAATATAAGATTCATTTATTGTAAGCGTTTCGAAGACACTTTGTAGGTTTTTAAATGTTTATTTTTAAAAAATCGTTTGATATTCGATTCTAAGCTTATGCTCTATCGTTATACAAACCTCCATTAAAAATCCCATTAATAAGAAAAACGTGATAATTAAGTGGGGGAGAACGAAGGAGTGAACAGTAAAGAGAGGAAGAGAGAAATAAATGGAGGAAGTGACAGAAACAATGAAATCGCTGAAGCATGGTGAAACGGTGAGGTGGTATGATAGATGAAGTATGAATATATGATGGATGTGAAATGGAAAATGCAATATGGAAGATTTCCAGCGGAATATAAAAGAATCAAGGTTGGTCAAGATTAAGAAAGGAGGGTATGATTGTGTAGATAGCGAAGAAAGGGCAGAGAATGAAGATTATAGAAGTATAAGGGGGTTACATTGATTTCGATGCTATACAATGTATAGAATGTTCGAATAAGGGACGATTCTTCGCATGAAAATAAGACGAAATTGTATTCGAGGTTATTGTATCCGAATTATTATCTTCTGATAATACCAGAAAGAACTAAATGTGAAGTTCCATTGAATTCCTTTTTTATCAAAGAACATGGAGAAGTTGAATTAAATTTTTTATGTACAATTTAATTCTCTTCAATATTATTGCAATATCGTTTACAATGGAAAACCCTAATACAGGGTGTTTGGCCACCTCTGGGAAAAATTGTAATGGAAGATTCTAGAGGCCAAAATAGGACGAAAATCAAGAATACCAATTTCTTGACTGAGGCTTCGTTAAAAAGTTATTAAAAAATTAAATTACGTAGAAAAAATAAAATATTGTTCAAATTATTTTTGACGATGTTGAGGAACTGTATCTATTTTTGAGAGAGACTTTTTTCAAATTTATTCGAAAGATAGAGTTTTTGGTAGGCTGTAAAACATTTTTTTTTTACGTCAGAAAATTAAAATAAGAAATGTTTAAATTTCTTTATTTCAAAAGACATCGTCGACAGAGCCATTAAAATCATTGAAATTAAGATTGAAAGCATATTTCGATTTTTAAAAAATTTAATAAAAATAACATATTTAATTCTAATAAAATACGAAATTTATTTAAAAAAGAAATGTACACAGGGTGTTTGGCCACCCCTGGGAAAAATTTTAATGAGGTATTCTAGAGGCCAAAATACGACGAAAATCAAGAATACCAATTTGTTGATTGAGGCTTTGTTAAAAAGTTATTAACGTTTAAAGTTCCGCCCGTACTGAATTTTTTTCTAGAAAGTGGGTAGGATTTCGGGGTTAGGTCTATTCACCAAATATGCTTGTAATCGACCCCTGTAATTAAATTAAATTTTTTTTAGTATGATTTGAAATTTTTTAATTTCGTCTAAAAATTTCAGTACACACTCGAATTTTTTTCTCGAAAGTGGGTAGGATTTCGAGGGTATGTCTAATGACCGAAAATGATTGTACTTGACCCCCGCAACCAAAAATAATTTTTCCAGAAGGATTTGAAATTTTTTCTTTTCTTAAAAATTTATTCTTCATTTTTAATAATTTTGTTTGACGCCCTACAGAAAAGTTATCTAATACTTTTTTATAGATACCCATGAGCTCTATTTCAGAAAAAAAGTTTCATTGAAATATATCCACTATTGTAAGAGTTATGGCTGTTTGAAAATTGGACCATTTTTAGAGGGGTTTTCTCACTTTACGATGTCAAGGAACAATTTTTTCAATATTGTTAGAAGTTCTACATATTCTCCACTAAAATACGCGTTGTTTGCATTTTGAAAAATTAAAATCCTGCAATCCGTTCAGAAGTTATGACATTTTAAAGATTGGCACATTAGATTTTTTTTTCTCGAAAGTGCGGAGGATGTCGGGGTACGTCTGATCACCAAAAATGCTTGTAATGGACTCCTGTAACTAAATATAATTTTTTATGATGATTTGAAATTTTTTAATTTCGTCTAAAACTTTCAGTACCTACACGAATTTTTTTCTCGAAATTAGGTAGGATTTCAAGGGTTTGTGTATTCACCAAAAATGATTGTAATTGATCTCCGCAACCAAAAATAATTTTTCCAGAATGATTTGTGTTGGAAATGCGGCCAATGTCGGCATTGTTGGCGGGCCTGTAGCCGATGGTAGCGAGGTCGAATGGGGTTTCCCCGTTCATGAGCGGGCTTATGTCTTCTTTCTGTGAGGCGTCCACGTGTATTCTTTCCATAATGTCCAAGTTTATTTTTCTCTTCTTTGATATACGTATATGTGTAGTATTAGTTAATTGCGTTAAATGCGCAATTTATTGTGTACAAGTTTAATATAGTTCTAATTTGATTACCTTTGTAATATTTCATAACCTCTGATAATTTGAAATTTTTTAATTTAATTTTTTAAGAACTTTTTAACGAAGCCTCAGCCAAGAAATTGATATTCTTGATTTTCGTCTTATTTTGGCCTCTAGAATCTCCCATTAAAATCTTTCCCAAGGGTGTCCGAACACCCTGTAGATGTAAAACTGTAAATAACTTTAATTAAGAGTTCCGTCTCGTAACAGGTGCAGCGTTAAATTATCGAATATTTCTGTGTTTCACACTGCAATTTGAACTGATGTCGAGAGCATGTTTGCACTTAACGTGTTAAAAGATAAAGACGGAGTGAAAAGGTGATTTTCGAAAGGAAAAGAGGAACGACGGGCAACGTACATTTGAATTATCTTATGGGAGGGAGAGAGATTGGGAAGAAAAAGGGAAAGCTAATAGCCTTCTTTGTAAACTTTAAAGCGGCTTTTGATACACTGGACAAGAGGAAAAGATGAGAGGGCCGCTAAGAGGGTCGGATGAATGGTTGAATGAAAGGATAATGAAAATGTATAAGGAAACGACGTGACTAGAATGAAAGTGGATGGAAGAATGGAGGAATGTGTCTGGAGAACGTTATGAGACAGGGATGTTCGCCGACATCTTCAACATTTCCATGACGAAACAGACATTTGTTTTCGAATTTCCAGAACAATCGTGTAACGTACGATTCGTACATGTCTCGACTTTCGATGTAAATCCAATTTTATTTGTTGCCTCGAATATGGTTCACATCGTACAAATCGATGGACAATTCCGTAATCGTGATCGACAATGGATAAGGTTCTAAATCAAAAGGTCGACGCTTCGACAAGCCATACGATCACGATGTTTCTGTAAATTGTAAATAAATTTCTATCTCAACGCTGTATCGATTTAAAGAACAACGGACGCTGTTTATTTTCATGAGAGATACGAAGGAAAAGTAAGGTGAACGAGGATGACATTCTGGCGACTGCTAAAAAGAATCAAGAAGATGCTACTTGCGTTAAATGTGTACTCGAGGTAGAAAAGTCTAATGCTCGGTGTCCACTCGAAAGTTTTACTTTTAAGAGTCGGTATCGAGAATAAGCTTTTTCACGCGAGCAAGTTAAAAAGCTTTCGCGTTGGAAGTTAATTCGTCACTTGTAAAGCTCGTTTCCGCGCGTTCGCGTAAAAGAATTTGCCAGGGTTAGAACAAACGAGTTATTTACTATATTTTTAACTTTTAAATTATTTCTTTTCTGTTTTAAGCTAAGTTTGTATTTTTAGTTTATCTTATATTCGATTAAATGAAAGCTCTGGAGGAATTTATATTCCTTAACAAATATTACGACACATTCACCATCTAGGTTACTCGAAGAAATTTTTTATTCCGTGTACGAACACATTTTTATTCGATATGCAGACAAACATATGCCCAACTCTGCTGAACGGTAACTTAGTTACTTTCTCGATTTTCAAAATAAACATTCAGAAATGTATTCCTTGATAAATTTCTAAAACGTGTAAAAAAGAAACATTCGATATATCTGACTCGACGCCATTGAAGAATAACGATTAATTTAACTAACAATTAATTCATTTTCGAGCAAAGTCAAAGAAATTTACTGTTCCTTGGTATGTTCATCTTAATTCCAGACACGTAAAAATGCATATTTATTACATCGTAGTAAATAATGAACAAAAAATGTTTCTGGAACCGAGGTGTTTGAATATAATAAATCATTCTTTGGACTTTGCTCGAATAGCAAGAAGAAAATAAAAAAGTCATTTTTCCTTCGATTACTCGTATCAATCGTAATTGTAAATTGTTTATTTGATTTGGAGAAATAAAAGATCGTAACAAATATGGCCGCCCGTTGCATCTGTGCGGTTTAGAAATTGGTGGCGTACAAGCGGGAATTTCTGTATTTGCGTATGAACTTGCTGTGCCGTATTTGTGTCGAAGTTTAGGTACGCAGTGCGTAGTACCAGATTGTTGAGAAACGTAAAAAACATTGTGTACCTGTATGGAATATCGGTGAGATTCGATTGACTGTGAGAATGCGGCACCCTAGGCGCCGATGCGGTATCTCGAACACCACAAACGGCCAATTCATGGGCTGATCCGGAAAGACTTCGATCGCTTCCTCTGCGTTTACCGCCGCTTATACTACCTACACCATGCTGTTGCAATGTACTTGGTGTCGTAGTCGAAGTTGAAACTTTCTTTTTGGCTTGTCCGCCGAAGACAAAAAATCTATAATCAGGAACGAAACATTTTCTTACTTTCGTTAACTACTATCCAGAGATGACTTGTTGGCTAGGCACCGACAAACTAAACGGAGCAATGGCAAGGAGATAGGGTCTACGCTAGAGGGTCTACAGTCCCTTACTGTGTTCCCTTTCCTTGTGCTCGAAGGACCACCCAAACTAGTGTTTGGGGAAATACCGATAACTGAAGCCCGTTGCTTCTGATTGAGAGCTCGTTGCTCTTCGTGTTATACAAGAGTATGAAACGTCTTGTGGAGAGTCTAGTCGAGTTCGTAAGACTCAATCAAAAACGAATCTAATCCGAAAACTTAATGCTATCCTTAACCTAAGCTCGGCTTCCACTACCAAGGATTGGGAGGATTGGTCGAGCCAATCCTCAAAGTCGTCACCTTGGCAGGGCGTTTCCTGCTTTTTGCAACATTCCCGCTCACCCTGCTGTTCGGTGTCCAGCTACACCATGCAAGAGTGAGCGAGAACGTTGCCTTTTTTATAAACATTTGGGGAAAACCAAAGCCCCCAAGACCCCGGTGGTCTGCAGATGTGCGCTTCCGCGGATTTACGATACGTCAATCGCTATTGAGGCAAGGAAGAGCTCCAAGGATTCCAAGTTCCGTGTGGAGTTTGGAGTTTCCTTAACCCTTTCGCTTCGGCAGTCCAGTCCGCCGAAGTGTCGTCACCGTACGGAGTCGTCGCGCGGATGCCGGATATATCCGGCGCTCGAAGCGAAAGGGTTAATGACCGTAACGTAATTTGTCAAGTAAAAATGTCTCGAAGGCCTAATCCTCAAAAATAGCGGAGAAGTCCTTAAGTTCCTTAAGAATCCTTAACAATAATAGTAGGGTCTCCATAACCACGAGAGATACACTTTTGTTCTATTCATGGCTAGTATTTTGAGAGTACGGTTACGCCAATGCTTCTCAGTCTTGTCCTATCCTACTCTGTTCCTATACGTTTCGTTCGTGTTCTTTGTCACGCGATGGAATTATAGTTGTGAGCGACTCAGCCAATAATGACAATGCGTGTGAGAGCAGGCGTAGCTATTAAGCTACGGCCAATCGGCGTGCCTAGCCATCAAGTCATCACTGTGTAGTACATAAAACTTCTTATAATTAATTTTTAATTTTCTTTTAAATCGCTCATTACGATGTTTGTAACCTATTAGATTTTTCACATTTAATTCACGAAATTCATTTTTTTACTATTGTTAACAAGATAAAATTTTGTAGAATTTTTAATTTAATTTTAAATTATTAATCTCGATGTTTGTAACCTATTAGATTTCTGACATTTAATTCATGAAAAGTCATTGAAGAAGTTATTTTTCAATAATATGTTTAATAATATTGGAAGGCATTATTTAACTCAATATTCAGAGCTACGAGGGTTGTTCGATAAGTAAAGAGAAAAATGTTCTGTTATGTAAAAATGAGGACTCCTATAGTGTTAGAGTTATTATTAAACATGTTTAATTCATATAACTAGACTGCGGATCTTCATGCATATTCATATTTTTATTAATAAAATTAATGAAATTGGAGCTTTGTAGAGGGTTGTCTCAACCTCTAAATATAATAATTCGTACCTTACTTTAAGTATTTCTTATATTCTTGCATATTAACTAAATTCTGTAGTTTTTTGAAAATTAAAATTTCCCATAAATGCATAAACATCCGCAGTCTACATATAACCATGAAAGATCCTTTTAAAAAGTGCACTATGGAAGAGCAAAGAAGTTAGTAGAGGAAGACTGTAACAATTATTAAATAAGCAATTGTTTCTGCAGAAGTTTGTCTCTTTGCTTGTCGAAGGACGCTGATAAATAGTGTAAAACTATTGAAATTACCTCTTTTTTTGCAAAGGTTGCACTCCCGCAGCTACGAGGTTCCGGTATTGATCGGAACGAATAAATCTAGGATAACAATCCTTTTTCAATAGTAGTGTGTAGACGTGCTCAGCAGCGGAATCGAATGTAAATCGGCTTGGATTTTTCATTTCTTGATGGACCTTTTCCATTGTCTTTCCATCAATATTTATTTCGCAAGGGGCTCCAGGTGCCAGGAATTCTCTAAACGCAAAATTCAAACAAATATTCATTATTATAAAATTCTGTTCATTACTTAAACTGTAAAAACGATATCACGCTTTACGCACTTGAAGATTTCATTGACTTTATCGTTTATTTGTGCTTGGAAACTATGCCTTAAATCTTTGACTGCCAACCAAAATCGTATGTTCTCGTGACTGTATTCCTTCCTCAAATAGTTCGTGAATTCTTGCAAACCTACGGACAGAGTATATAAAACGAAAAGATCAGCCATTGTAATAGTTACTATTCTTCGATCCTTTCCTTTTCAACAACTTTATCATCACTTCTATACAAATAATTGGAATCTAAACTCAGTTACTTCACTGTATCAAGTTTCAAATAAAATTCAAAAGTTATTTAAACGTACCACTTTTTTCAAGAGCAATGAAAAAAGTTTCTTTTATTATTCAGAATTAAAAAATTAGTTGAATTAGTACTTGTAAGTATAAAACTTAATAAGTTTCATGATAGACTCGCTCCTAGTTATTTTCAATTATTTCTTTTATTCCTAGTCGATATTTATCTGTAGACATACGATTGAAATTATTCACCTGTGGGATCAGACATTAACTCTTCCATCGATAGTGCCCAGCGCTTTACACGTTTCTCCGTCGGGGCTTCCACACTACAGATACATTAATGAAATAAATTAAAAGTATTCAATTTTACCCAATTCGAATATCCTTGCCACGGAACTCGAATACATTACCATTCAGGACACATATTTCGTTACGAGACAATTAATCGTATTTTAGGATACTAACACAGGACTGTTCAGTTGCCAAAATGTTTGATCGTCGGTGATCCACGGGTTGGATGGCTGTGGCTGTATAAACATTGGATCGTATTCCACATACGTCTCAAAATATGATTTAAAATTTTCAATCGCAGCCGAGACCTTTATTCTTGTGCGTGTTAAGCTGTTCTTCAAAAGGGCCACCTAATTTTTCAGTAAACACACGCGTGCCATTTGTTAAAATATATACTAAAACTGCCTTAAAATGTCACTCTACTTACAATTTATTAATTTTAACTAATATAAAATTCTTTCTTGTTTTAACTGCATTCTTTTTAATTTTGATGAATCGCATTATGTGTTATGAATAGACTGCGGATCTTTACGCAAATTCGTATTTCTATTAATAGAATTAATGAAATAGGAGCTTCGTAGAGGGTTGTCTCAATCACTAAATATAAAAATTCGTTATTTGAAGTATTGTTTATATTTTCGCATATTAAGTGCATTCTATAGTCTTTTGTGAATTAAAATTTCGCATAAATGCATAAACATCCGCAGTCTAGCTATGAAACCAACTTCAAACAATCGTATTTTATTATAAACGAAAATCTCAAGTAGTGATTGAAAAATTATGAAATTAATATCGATCTTTTATTATTGTTAACAATGTAAGAAAGAAGAATTTTTGAGTATCCAGATTTAAATAGAAGGATTCACCTCGCGTTGTAGATCGGTTAATGTGCGTTTGCGTGATGGAGGACGCGATAGTCCAGGACGAAAACGCGTAGGTACGGGTGCTATTTCGAGGCTACTGAGACAACCAGGCGGTGGTCTATAAACTCTCCAAAAGGCTCGTTCTTGAGAATCGCTCACTATCTTATCTCCCTTTTTTCGCTCCTTCGATAATCGCACCTGAGCCCACAAAATTGACACAATTTCAAGAAAACGTACGAAGAGGTTCGCCACTTCATTAACGTATACAGATTCTATCGAAACACATATTCTTAAAAATTAACTTGTACTTCCAATTTTCCCCTGTTTCTATCAATTCATCGATCATTCATAAATATATTCTCAATTTCAATTGTTCAATTCTTCAATAAAGAAAATCAGATACGATGTTGATTTGAAACAACCCTTAACTGATCGATAAAGGTTGATCAAAATAAATCGACATACGATTGAAATATAGGTATATTGTATACAATTATCGAAACGTAAAGTTTGAAATATCTTTTAAACTGATTTTAGCTAAAATTGAGTAATTGTTCACCTGTTCCTCAGCCTGAAGTTGTATGATATCCCACTTGTTTTGCAAGTTCCTACGTAAGCTGTTTAAAGCATCCTAAAAGGAAAAGATTGTTTAATAAAAAGAGGAAACATCGTACGTGGAATTTTTAGCAGAATCAACTGAATTTACATACAATCTCGTAATCCTCAAGGGCATGGCGTTGTTTGTTTCTTAAAGTTCTTTTAGCCAGATAAATAGCATACTCCACATTGTCAGGGGTTCTATGTTGCCATGGCCAATAATACGGTGTCTGTACGGTGAATAAGAAAAATCTTTTTAACTATGTCAACAGAAGTTCACAATCCTTTGGCTGGTATAATTTTTAAATTGGATAATATAAATATATATATATTTTCTTCGTTAATAATTTGATTCTAATTTTTTCTAATTGTGCGTAGAATATAATATTGATTTCACTAGGTATATTTCTTTTATTATACAGGGTGTGTCCCAGCATCAGTGGTACACCCAAGAAGAGGATTATTTTGCATGAAAAAACAAAACAAAATGAAAGAATAAAATTTGTTCATTTGAGGCTTTGTTGTTGAAAAAATTGATTTTGAATATTCAATGAGTATGTATACATTTAACTATGTCGGATAGATCTCAATACAGACTTTTATTGTGTTTTCTGCATTTCTATACACTCGTGTTGACAAAACCTCCTTAGCATGTATCACAATTTTATTTACTGTCTTATTGTTAGTATGTTATTATCTTTAGTTTTGACTAATCATGGTATCCAGATTTGATACTCCTTGATTTTTATTTATGGGATCATGTTAAAACAAAAGTGTACAAGAAGAATATTTTAAGCCTTTCTCAATTAAAAGTGAGAATCATTTGGTATTTGAACAATTAAAGACAGAAAATACATTAGAGTGTATGTTCATACAAATATAATTCAGAAAGTACAGTTATGTGTTCAGCACAATGAGCAATTTTCAACAATTTTTGTATTAATTAAGTTAGTTCAGTAAGTTAATTAAATGCCTTATTTTCATTTAAATCCTGTAAATATTCAGTTGATTTTCTCCACAACGAAATCTCAAACGAAAAAATTTTATTTTTTATTTTCGATTTGTTTTTTCATGTAAAATCGCCTCCTTCCCGCTTGTAACACCAATGCTGAGACACCCTGTATACGTGTACCACCCCACAGAGATATAAGTTGGAGATTCTCTCGATTTTTAGACATAATCAGACAAATACTGTACCTGAAATCTATACAGAGAACTATCATCCTTCACGGCGAGTGTCTTGGAGTCATTTACCGGGAAGAAGTAGCCATACTGGCAGAGCTGATTGGCAATATGGACCGCCTCTACTGTCAACATAACAATTCCCTTTCATGAGAAGTGAAATACCTCCCTAAATGATACCTAAGTACGTGAAACTCTAGACTCCTTCAAAATTCTCTCAACGTTTCAACCCCAAACCCCATTTCTAGTGATTCTTCTCAAAGTTTGGAACATCTTGAACACCTTATCTGTGGCATAACTCCTTCAAAAATCACTAAAATTCTATTCACAAGCTTTATCATACCAGTTGAGATCGAAAGTTGCGTCGTACCGAAGGATTAAACATTGAATCAAAGGAAAATAATGAAAACAAAAATTGTTTACCTGATTCCTCGATGGAAAGCCGCTCCATCAGCCACTCGATGAGGTCATAACCTGTAACAAGCAGGTAAATAACTATAGTATCCTAGCCGTGACACGTTTACTCTGCAATACGAGACAATAAACTTTCGAGAATAATTCAGTAACAGATTTTATTTTGAAAATTAAACAGATACAAGGTTATCGTCTTCAAAGTAATATTCAATCGATATACCTATTGAATCGAGTCATAAATAATTGTTATCTTTTCATATCAAATTTACTTCCCCTTTGAAAGAGTTACGGAACAATTTAATCTAAAACTTATTCTTCGCTAGTACATTAACATTTTCCCATTTATTTGGTATTAAATATAAATGTACTCAAAAATAGTTTTAAACTGAAGTTTTAAAATTTAAAAACATTTCAAACATTTCATAAAAATTCAAAAAATTTAGTGAAATTGCCCATTGATCTTGTCACAGATTTTGTTTATTTTTATAATATTATATTATAATATTAATTAATATAATTAATATTGTATTATATAAAAAATAAACAAAATCTATGAAGATCAATGGGCAATTTCACTAAATGTTTTGAATTTTGAATTTTTCTGCATTTAACGAGTTTTCTAGGGATCGAAATACATAAGTGATGATCTATGGAGATTTAGATACGTTGAGTAAAGAGGGTGCGATAAAACAGAGCATCCTAACTCCAAAATTTTGTCGTAAATAATTCTGGCAAAACACATAGTTTCAACATGATAGTATTTGTATAGCTCTGGTCACTATTCATCAAACAGTGTCACAATTTTTTGCTTCAAATTGTGGCCCATTGTTCACGTAACAAATATATCTGTTGCATGCAACAATCTCTAAAATAAATAAAATGATCGATAATATTTACCTTTCGCGCTTAGAGAGGGCATTAAGCTAGACAATAAATGAACGTGACTGTTGGGTTTATTGCAACCGACCGCGGAAATAAAATTATATTCGAAACTTTATTGTCACAGCTCGTACAGGAATCGATGCCACTCACCCATGAAAGCTGAGGGGATTGAAGTGAGAAATTGTTTTTGACTACGCACGGGTATCCCGTTCTCAGGGTCTTGCATCTCCCGCACCAGCCCCTCCATCTGCAATAAATTCAATCAATCGATTGGTTCTGCTCTTTAGCACAATATATTGCTAGTTCTAAATTAAAAGTCCGCCTCGAGCTCGATACAAAGTTGTTCAAAGACCTCGATCAGAGTTTTAATTGATTGTTATTCAACGAACCGTTTCAGGAATACACATGTGTAAATACTTAAAAAGCTGAGGCACACACCGAAAGAAGTAAAAACGTTATACAAACTCATACTATCATCCATAAGTCACTTAATGAATGTGGAATAAAAACGAAGTGGCATTAGGAAACGATGGAAATTATTAAATGAAATTAACAGTTTCATTCATTCCATTATAAAGAAAATGCAACTCACATTGTATGTTATAGCTTTCACTAAAATAGAGCGAGTTTTTTATTCAATTTAACCGTTGAAATTAATAGTGAAATTCGATGCCGACAATTGTTTTGACATTTTTAATGTTTCAAGAAGGCACAATTAACGCCTATAGGGATTTATACATTTTTTAAGGAGTATTTGCTATATAAAAATCAAATCAGAGATCTTTATTACTTTTTAAGGTTCATCGATAACTAAAATCTGCAATAAAATATGTTTGAAATAAGAGGAATTAATGAAAGTGATCTAAAAATAACGTAAATTTATTGCGCATCAACTGTACATATTTATTTTTGTATATAATCGCCATTTAATGCAACACATTTTTCCAAACTCTCTGTCCATTTTTTAAGAAATATTACGGTTTAATCTTGATTTAATTGCGCGCAGCAACCTGAAATTCGATATTCGATGAAAAATTTTGACTTCTCAACGTCTCTTTCAACTTTGAAAACAACCGATGATGCCGATGATGTAACCTTCAAAAAAACCTTTAAAAATCCAATTACTGATCGTTGCTCGCAACTCGGAAGTCGAACTCAAGATAAATGACGTTATGCAGGAGATTGTGTACATTTAGACCCTGCACACGCTATACTAGGGTGAACGTCGCGAACAACAAAAGGCAAATACTATAAATGTATTCGTGGTCGTTTGTTAATAAAAATTGTTTATGTTTTCCAAGTTTTGTTCGACGTTTTACGTCAATAATACCCGTAGGTACCGAGGAATTCAAGTTTAGCGGCGCTCAAGATTCATTAAAACTTTCAAGACCCCTATCTAGGCTTCAAGTCTAATCAAGACTTTCAAGACCGAGCAAGACTTTTAAGACCCACCAAGACTTACAAAACCTATCAAGATTTTCGCGGAACTTCTGCCATCGAATAATGCTAGGAGCGATTCGAATCTGACGTCATAGATTCGAAGGGATTCGATCTGATATACGGCTCTTTGCTACCGTACGAGTGTCGCGAGGCGACCGCCAGTATAGAGGTACTCTCGTTTGCTCGTGTAAAAGAGCTCTTATTCTCGATTGCGGCCCTCGAGGATAAAACTCTGGAGTGGACACTCAGCCCCCAGACGCTCGGTCTCAAATCGGGACGGACCCTGAAGATGCGCATACCTTATCGAAGGCGCAAGGCCTATGGACACGTGGCTCCTTCTTCTGTTGTTGATTGCTAGAGGCCTCCATCGCGATCGAGGCGGCCCTCTGCGACGCTGGCAGGAGCTGTGGCGATATTGATGGCGGAGGGGGCTGGGGAGCTGGGCCGGAGACGGGTCTACCCGAACTCCATGGGGCTCTGGCCCCATCCCATCACTCCAGTCACCCCCGCACGCACACTGAAACATTGCAATTTTAATTCGTATTAAACGGGCTGCCTAAAACTTTCCATCGTTTTTAGACATTTCCTTAATTAATTTTATAAACCATATCACAACCCCCCTAAATTTTACAAACACCTTTGTATGATATTGCAGGGTCCAGTGAAAGAGTTTTTTTGGCGAATAGACATACACCCTACATTAGACAAATCCTACGCACCTTTCGAGACACAAATTCACTAGATCGACTTTTTCGTCGAAATTAGAAAATTTCGAATCATTCTGGAAAAATTGTTTTTGGTTGCAGAGGTCAATTACAATCAATTTTGGTGAGTAGGCATACCCTCGAAATCCTACTCACTTTCGAGAAAAAAATTCATTAGGTCGATAAAATTTTCGGCGAAATTAGAAAATTTCAAATCATTCTGAAAAAATTGTTTTTGGTTGCAGGGGTCAATTACAATCAATTTTGGTGAATAGACATACCCTCGAAATCCTACGCACTTTCGAGAAAAAAATTCACTAGATCGACAAATTTTTCGGCGAAATTAGAAAATTTCGAATCATTCTGGAAAAATTGTTTTTGGTTGCAGAGGTCAATTATAATCAATTTTGGTGAGTAGGCATACCCTCGAAATCCTACTCACTTTCGAGAAAAAAATTCACTAGTTCGACAAATTTTTCGGCAAAATTAGAAAATTCCAAATCATTCTGGAAAAATTATTTTTGGTTGCAGAGGTCAATTACAATCAATTTTGGTGAATAGACATACCCTCGAAATCCTACGCACTTTCGAGAAAAAAATTCACTAGATCGACAGATTTTTCGGCAAAATTAGAAAATTCCAAATCATTCTGGAAAAATTATTTTTGGTTGCAGGGGTCAATTACAATCATTTTTGGTGAATAGACATACCCTCGAAATCCTACGCACTTTCGAGAAAAAAATTCACTAGGTCGACAAAATTTTTGGCGAAATTAGAAAATTTCAAATTATTCTGGAAAAATTGTTTTTCGTTGCAGAGGTCAATTACAATCAATTTTGGTGAATAGACATACCCTCGAAATCCTACGCATTTTCGAGAAAAAAATTCACTAGATCGATAAAATTTTCGGCGAAATTAGAAAATTTCAAATCATTCTGGAAAAATTGTTTTTCGTTGCAGAGGTCAATTACAATCAATTTTGGTGAATAGACATACCCTCGAAATCCTACGCATTTTCGAGAAAAAAATTCACTAGATCGACAGATTTTTCGGCAAAATTAGAAAATTCCAAATCATTCTGGAAAAATTATTTTTGGTTGCAGGGGTCAATTATAATCATTTTTGGTGAATAGACATACCCTCGAAATCCTACGCACTTTCGTGAAAAAAATTCACTAGGTCGACAAAATTTTTGGCGATATTAGAAAATTACAAATTATTCTGGAAAAATTGTTTTTCGTTGCAGAGGTCAATTACAATCAATTTTGGTGAATAGACATACCCTCGAAATCCTACGCATTTTCGAGAAAAAAATTCACTAGATCGATAAAATTTTCGGCGAAATTAGAAAATTTCAAATCATTCTGGAAAAATTGTTTTTCGTTGCAGAGGTCATTTACAATCAATTTTGGTGAATAGACATACCCTCGAAATCCTACGCATTTTCGAGAAAAAAATTCACTAGATCGACAGATTTTTCGGCAAAATTAGAAAATTCCAAATCATTCTGGAAAAATTATTTTTGGTTGCAGGGGTCAATTATAATCATTTTTGGTGAATAGACATACCCTCGAAATCCTACGCACTTTCGTGAAAAAAATTCACTAGGTCGACGAAATTTTTGGCGATATTAGAAAATTTCAAATTATTCTGGAAAAATTGTTTTTCGTTGCAGAGGTCAATTACAATCAATTTTGGTGAATAGACATACCCTCGAAATCCTACGCATTTTCGAGAAAAAAATTCACTAGATCGATAAAATTTTCGGCGAAATTAGAAAATTTCAAATCATTCTGGAAAAATTGTTTTTCGTTGCAGAGGTCATTTACAATCAATTTTGGTGAATAGACATACCCTCGAAATCCTACGCATTTTCGAGAAAAAAATTCACTAGATCGATAAAATTTTCGGCGAAATTAGAAAATTTCAAATCATTCTGGAAAAATTGTTTTTCGTTGCAGAGGTCATTTACAATCAATTTTGGTGAATAGACATACCCTCGAAATCCTACGCATTTTCGAGAAAAAAATTCACTAGATCGACAGATTTTTCGGCAAAATTAGAAAATTCCAAATCATTCTGGAAAAATTATTTTTGGTTGCAGGGGTCAATTATAATCATTTTTGGTGAATAGACATACCCTCGAAATCCTACGCACTTTCGTGAAAAAAATTCACTAGGTCGACGAAATTTTTGGCGATATTAGAAAATTTCAAATTATTCTGGAAAAATTGTTTTTCGTTGCAGAGGTCAATTACAATCAATTTTGGTGAATAGACATACCCTCGAAATCCTACGCATTTTCGAGAAAAAAATTCACTAGATCGATAAAATTTTCGGCGAAATTAGAAAATTTCAAATCATTCTGGAAAAATTGTTTTTCGTTGCAGAGGTCATTTACAATCAATTTTGGTGAATAGACATACCCTCGAAATCCTACGCATTTTCGAGAAAAAAATTCACTAGATCGATAAAATTTTCGGCGAAATTAGAAAATTTCAAATCATTCTGGAAAAATTGTTTTTCGTTGCAGAGGTCAATTATAATCAATTTTGGTGAGTAAACATACCCCCGAAATCCTACGCACTTTCGAGAAAAAAATTCACTAGGTCGACAAAATTTTCGGCGAAATTAGAAAATTTCAAATCATTCTGGAAAAATTGTTTTTGGTTGCAGAAGTGAATTACAATCAATTTTGGTGAATAGACATACCCCCGAAATCCGAAGCACTTTCGAGAAAATAATTCTTGACCGAAAATTTAATATGAGGTCAAAAATGCACCCCCGAAATTTCATGCAAATCTTTAAAATGTCATAACTTCTGAACGGATTGGGGGATTTTAGTGTTTCAAACGGCAAACAACGCGTATTTTGGTGAGGAATATGTGCAAATTCCAAGAATATTTGAAAAGTTGTTCCTTAAGACCGTAAAGTGAGAAAAACCCCATAAAATTGGTCCAATTTTCAAACGGTCATAACTCCTACAATAGTGAATGTATCTCATTGAAATTTAATTTGGAGGTAGAGCTCTTGGATACCTATGAAAAAGTATTAGACAACATTTCCGTACAGCATCAAACAAATTTATTAAAAATCAAAAACGAATTTTTAAGAAAAGTCGACAGGTGCCTAAATTTTTCGATGAAAAAAAAATTTTAAATCGTTCTAAAAAAATTATTTCTAGGTTCTGGGGTCAAATACAATTATTTTTGGTGAATAGACATACCTCCGAAATCCTACGCACTTTCGAGAAAAAAATTCTTTACTGAAAATGTAATGTGTGACCACAGATTTGTGATTATATTGTTCATTCTGCGAACAGCGCTTTGCTCACCTAACTTGCTTTTTAAGGGGGTATTGCTTTCTAGACTGTCATTTTTCCGGTTTTTTTTGTGACTTTGTTTAATGGCAGGTAGACTAATTTGTATTAAAATTTTGCAGATATATTTATTCATCTTATAAGTATGTACAGTGTTTTTCCCATCAGAAAATATTAAAAATTGTGGGGGTTATAACTAGTTGTTTAATTGCTGTTCTGAAAATATACTATAGTTTTTTATAAGAGATTGAATAAACATTTATTTCCATTGCATTATACATTTCTTCAAGCATCTATCGTTTTAATTTCTTTTGTACAAATAAATATACCATAATTGTCTGTGGTTCTAGTGTAAAAGACCATCCTGGTCTGCTTCCATATTCTCAAAGCGAGTATTTTTCTTTTAAAAATCATTTTTTGCTTCAACTTCAAAAAAACAACCAGAGCCAAATCCAACGAGCACAGTTGGTATCTGATCAACTGACTTTTTATAAAAGAAACATTTAGTAATAATCGCTGAAAAAAGCTCTGGAATATTTATCTTGCATCAAGAACCGCTCTTACAATTGATATAAACCCTATCTGACTCGACGAACTCATTTTAAAACGACTTTTGAACGTTTTCACAGTAATTTTTCCACGTTTGAAGCAAAGTTTAATGCAAAGTTTAATCCTGTGCTTCATTTCGAAATCGTACCGACGTAAAAGAATTAATAATCTTTCCACTCTTCCAATTAATATAAACCCTGTCTGACTCGACGAGTTCATTTTAAAAGGACTTTTGAATGTTTTTACAGTAATCTTTCCACGTTTGAAGCAAAGCTTAATCATAGTCCTGTGCTCCATTTCGAAATCGTACCGACGTAAAAGAATTAATAATCTTTAAACGCGTATTGCAAATGAAAATTTGCTACTTTCTTAACAGTTTAACGTGCCTACTTCCGGATTCGATGAACTCTAGATCGCACAGCTTCCAATGGGGGGGTTCTGGAATTAGGATACTCCCACTCAGCGCATCCGTGTGAATCACAAAATACCCATACGAAACCGGATTACATACGTCGTGTATACATATTTGTTGGTAAGAAGCCTCTGTAAACGTCTACCGTCTCTGCAGACTGGGTAATTAAGAGTTCATTAACCGCAATTCGCCAGGCAAATCGAGACTCTATGCCACGACATGGGGCCGTCAACAACTACTACGATGGTCAGACTTTAACGGTGAGCAAGGGAACTAGGAACCCTGTTAGCTCTGAGCTTTGAAAGGGACAGGAAAAATATTCGACTCTGCTAATCCCTTTAACCGACCCCTGTGGTACCGTTTAAATCCTTCGTGGCATTATTAACATCGTTTCCAGACACCATGCAGTTTTTAGTACCCATTAACTAGCGTATCAAATGTGTAAAAATGTTACCTAGCAATAGCAAATCAACGCGACGAGTTGTAATAGTGCGTGCAACTTATGCTTGACGAGACCTTGTTTTCGAATTAGA